TTGTTACAGTGGATGCACAAAAGGTCACTCAGGCCTATCTTGGAAATACAAAACCATTGCCCTTTAACTCTGCCCTAACGCTTCAGGTCAATAATCAGTCAAAGTTTTGAGCAGAGGTGTTGCAGTTTTTCCTGAATTACTTGTCCTTCAGATTGCCTTGCCTCACTCAGTTGTTTTAATTGATCAAATTGGCCTGTAACTGTAAGACCGTAAGACACACCAGCAGAATTTGTGGAATTCCACACTGATGATGTGTCCAACTCGTGTTTTCCAGGTGTATTCGTTCAATTTGGTTGCACACCTTCTGGTCACGTTACTGTGGCAACCAGGAATGCCATTCTTGAGTTTTTCTCTTCTTTATATTTTTTGGTTGGTCAGTTGACCCTGAGGTTAGGCAAATACTGGTTTGGTAGTCAACCCCGCTGAGGCAGTGCGGAGGAATTCATGGATTTACAGCCAGAAACATTGTACCAGAAAAAGGCACTTCTAAAAGGGCAAGTGTTGACTGAGGGGTATTCATAGGTGTACTGGGGGGGGGGGGGGGGGAGCAGAAGAAGGAAGGTCAGGGGCAGGCTTAGGGACTGCCTTCAACTTCAGGCTGTCAAAGATTAACAGGGACTTTGGGGATCAGACGTTTGACATTGAAGGGGTGTAAGTTAGTAATTGTTTCCTTTGAAAATGCTAATGTCTGTGAGACCATTCCAAGTGGCAGCAAGGCAAAAAAAAAAAAAAAAAAACCCAAAAAGGCAGCCTGTAGGCTTGGGATTTGATTGACATGGAAACTATAGCACACAGTATCTGACCCGTCAGTTTTCAGATACACACAATAATGATTCTTTTGAAAACTCCTTTAGGAGTTAGGGTTGGGGGATGGGATAAGTTTCAACTAGGACTGTGAATCGGAGCCGTGTACCCGACCGTTGATGTCAGGAACCGGTTCCAGATTATGGGATCAGGTACCCGTAACCAACTTTACAAATTACTCAGTAACTTGTCAGACAATTAGAAGGCAAGGTTTTGAAGGTCATTTGTGGGAAATTCTCAAAATGAAAACAAGGCTAAATGAGAAACAAAACAAATCCATGTGTACGACGTTCGCAAAAGTTGCAGTTTATACCGCAAAGCTACGTACATAAGGCTCACTGTTCACACTTGTATCTTGCTGTATTGACCCATCGATGTGGTAGTATTTTGGAGCATACCTTATGAACAATCTGGACACCAACTTGGGTTGGGTTGGGTTTCTTAAACGGGTACCCTGTTACCCATGTTTTTTTCAGTTAGGTATCCGGTTCCCTGACTCGGATTTTATTTTGACATACTGTACTGGTAGGTTCAAATGTCAGTAAAAAAAATATCTAGTCATAACTTCAGTTGCATGTAGGTAATGATTCACATCAATTCATGTTGGTGCATTCATTTTTCTTTTCAAATTCCCACTTTAATTTTGAAATATTAGTATGTCTAATCTCATGTCCATATATCAAATTACGGAAAATAAGTGAGCTTTCATCCCCGGACCTAATTGAAATTTTTAAGGTCATCCCTTTATTTTTGTGGACAAAGGACTTTTTATTCTTTGATTCCAGTAAATGGTGAACACCATAATGGGTTAATGAATCCCTCACTTTGCAACGAGGCGTCGGATCTATTGTCCAGAGATGTCTCACTCATGCAAGCGCTTGTCCCAAAGTGTCTACATCATTTATTGCCAGCTGCTAAAACTACGCAATTTTCTCACAAAGATCCCGGCTGATATATAATTATTCACTGTTGAAACGCCAAAGGAGGAGAGGCTTGTTTACTCATATTTTTTCTTTCTTTTTTATTGGGAAAAAATAGTCTTTGGGACTGTAATCTAAGCTTTGTGCCGGGAACTGGCACATGTGGGTCCCCTCGGAGATGAAGAAGACCATGTGGCCATCCCATGTGGCCGATTTTGGAGTTAGTATGTGGGTCGCGACCCCCAAAGTGCTGGGGTCTGGCTTTGTTATTAACGATCACCATCCCCACATCTCCAGACAGATTCACAATAGCCTTACATTCATGTGTGTGCATGCACGTGTTCCGCTCGGTTCCACTTCCACAGTCGCCGGTACCACGGCAGAAAATGCATGAATTCATTTTAGCTTGCCGGGCACCGGTTAGCCCAGTTTGTTTCCACAATGCAAACAAATCCAAAGTACAAGTGTGCTGAAGGAAAAAAAAAAAACTGGCGGGTTTTGGTAAATTGGCATGTGGAGGATGCTATAGGAATTCTGCTGTGCTTTAGGCGTTTTAATGTGATTATTGTGGGAGTATGGGTGATGAATTGAAAAATCAATTTGGAGTGCAGTGCGTGTTCTGTGGGCATGTGAAACCTTTTGCTGTAGTTCTGCCCTTATGCTCCCTCATAGTATCTGCTCTGTCATAAAATTATGCGCTGTCATAAAAATATGCTCCGTTATAAAATTATGCTCCATCAAGAAACGTTCAACAAGGTTTAACATTTTATTGACAATACTGAATATTGTAGTGAACGTTTCTTTGGCCATTCCGCAGCTAAAGCTTCAGTATTTACATTCATACAAAGTACTGTAACTATCCATAGGTACTATTAGGTAGAGTTGATTAACACGTGTTTTCGACATGGCCTTGCTCGGGTTACAAAATGCACATCATGTACATGTTCATCCTTTGTTAAAAAGGGGCTGTTGCTTAGGGGTGATTTTTTTCTTACATTTGTGTATCAATTTCATCCATATGTAAATGTCATCATGGGACAACTTTATTGAGCATCACATAATTTTGTTGACCATACAACACAGTTTGCTGATCTACAAAACAGATAACCAGCTTACGACTGTGAAGTGTGATTTATTATGCTTGGTTTTTTTTTCTTTGCGCATAATTTTGCTTAAACGTCTTAAACATCGTTTGCTGCTGAGCCACATCATGAAATTGTGCCGTAGCGCTGGAGGAATAATGGTTGTTGAACCGTTGCAGTGCCTCCGGGGACGATTACATTGGCCGTATTTCTGATCCAATTAAATTTCTCCCTTAGCGCTGTCATTTGACTATCAGGAAATGTGATCATGTGACCTGTAGTCACCTGACGTATGTAAAGATGTAATTTACTGATAAACATGGATTTATATGTACGTACATGTAAATCTAACAGAATTAGCTAAAGATTGAGGTGTGTATGTTAACTAATGTGTGACTTTATGTTCCGTATCATTAGTCCCTGTACTGCGCCACACCACCAAAGCAGTGCATGGTTTGTGGAATCATGTGGATTCATCAGGGTACAAATACAATGTATTACAGTGTAGGTCAGGTGCTAGTTACTTAATTAATTAACTAATGATTTTGCCCTTTGAGAAAGTTTCTGCCAGGAACGCAACGTTGGGCCCTGTAATTACTTAGACTTGACTTAAGTTTGATACATGTACAGTATGTGGAAATGCCAAATCGATCTTCCACCCTAAATTGTACCACACTACATCTCAATTGTATCTCATTATTATCAACTTGGTATTAACCCTAACCCCCTAGGCCCTTGTTGCTTACAACCATCCGAAAATCCTCCAAAATTTTTCAACTCTGCCTAAATTTTTCAAAATTGTCAGACAGTCCTGCCTCAAAATGCATTCATCCTCAATCCTCCAAAATCCTCCTCATCCCAAAACTTTGCACTCGTGTTTAAATGAAGGATAACCAACGCCAAATCCTTCAAAATCATCAGACAGTCCTGCCTCAAAATGCATTCATCCTCAATCCTCCAAAATCCTCTTGTGCTTCATTCACCATTCATCCTCAATCCTCCAAAATCCTCTTGTGCTTCATTCACCATTCATCCTCAATCCTCCAAAATCCTCATTTGATTCAATCACCATTCATCCTCAATCCTCTAGAATCCTCCAAAACCGCCAGGAGGATTTTGGAGGAGTGAGGTGGGTTAGGGTTAACATTATTATAATGTACAGAACTTCAAAAATGAATTCCTACGTACCGGTATACATGGAAAAACAATGAATCTAAATGACAGTTACATGTACAAATGTACAATGTACATGTACATAGTGCATCAGTGTTCTCTCAGAATTTATGATCTATCAATGTCTGTTCCTCTCAATTTCCCAATGTACCTTGACATGTATTCCTTTGGCACATTGCGCACCTGTCGTGAGCCCAATTTATTTTGCCCAGGCGTACAAACAGACGTAATGTGTGCATGTGGGTCAAGGTAGATTAATTATGATTCGCTTCATTCCGGCAGAAGGCTGTCCCTTGCTGTGCTGCGACAAAATGTAAAAAATAATATAAGAAGGGTTAAACTGAATGTTAAGTCTCCTTGCAAATATTCACTTGTTTTGTCTGTTGCTACGTGTATGTGCACTTGGTTTTAAAATTGGGAATGGATTGGCTATGTGTGGTACACATGTACATTGATTTGGAAAGAGCCAAGTTCAGAGTCTTGTTATTGACAGTCGTGAGTGCTTGTTGAAGATGTCTCATTGGATGGGACGTGGTTGGGTGGGGACTGGGGAGAATTTCAAGGGTATCAGGTTTTTTTTCTAGCAGAAATTATGAAAATGAGCGGCCTGAAGACTTGTTTTAGGTTAGGACCAGCGGTTTCATTTAAAATATTAATAATTACTGGCGTGACAATCCTTGAATTAAAATGTTGCAAATTAAATAAAGGTTAAACTGAATAAATAATTTACGGGAAAAAAAAAATGAGGGAAAAGTAGTTTGCCAGGAAACTTGAGCAGGTTGAAAAGGGAATCCAGTTGCTTGACAGCTTTGGAAAGTAATTTTTTTTTAGTCGATATAAATTTTCAAGCAAACTGTGCCGCCACTCCAAGGTCTTCCGGACCAAGTGTTCCCTAAGTCTCATCTGTGGAATGCTTATTTTACTTCAGTGTTGTAAAATTGACATGTATTTAATTTTGATATAATTACAAAAATAGGATTAATTAAAAAAAAAAATGTCTTTCCGTTTTTCTGTCCTGCAGAAGTGGATGAGGGTACCTGGGATAACGGTCTATCGTATGAGTGTCGTACTCTACTCTTCAAGTCCTTACACAACCTCATTGAGCGGTAAGTACCAGAACCAAGAACCACTGTATGATCCAGGGAAGGGGAGGCGGGAGGGGGGAATGCGGGGGGGGGGGGGGGGGGGGGGGGGGAGGAATAAGGTCTTGGGATATCTTCAGGGAGAGGTGGGGGGGGGGGGGATTGGGCTAGGCCACTTTTTACCGGAGTGCTTGGTAACTTATTTAAATTTGATACTTTCTGTTCACCCTAAGCTGTATAGCAGACATCAGCAGACAATAAAACAACAAAAGAATTGAAAATAATTCTCTGTCCAGCGTAGGTAATAGTTTTTTAAAGACAAAAGAAAAACCCACTTTTAGGCCGAGCAAACAAAGTAAGAAGTGTATTGTCCGGCCTTTGTAAGAAAATGAAGGAGGCGGGCGTTTTAACCCTTTCTACATGCATATAGGCCCAGAAAAGACATTCTGCAAATACCCTTGCAATACTTTATTGCAACCGCAACAAAAATCCAAACGAACATTCAAAAAAAAAAAAAAAAGTAATTTTGTTCTAAAATTATTATCTGTACAGACCAACTGTAGAGAGTGATCCCTTGTGACAGGGCATTTTCAAGGAAGGATGCAAAAATTGTCTGGGCAGAATGATTGTTTTTTTGCGTTCAGGTCCATTGAACACAAACTCCACACACAGTCTAAAGAGCCCACCCCTGCAGAGAACCCACGTGTCACAAAATGCTCTATAAGCCGTGCAGTTTTAATTATATGGACAATTTATAATGTGCCTGATCCACATTTAACCCTCCTTTTGTTGATCAGTCACAGACAGTCGAAAAGTCAATCCTGTTCCCCTGCCATGCCTTTTACACAGGCTACGTGTAGTCACCAACCGTCTGGTCATATTTCTTGTAAGTTGTAAGCACTGTGACAGTCAAATTCCATCAACGGACAAAAACGGGTGACTGGTAGGCACAACTGGCTTATCAATCTCCTACAGTCAAAGCACAGCTATACCAGGTTTCATAACAATCACAGCCAGTCATTCCTGCTTTATGAAGGCAGGGAGCACTCAACTGTACCGGTACACTTAAGTACAACACAACAAGGGACGACAATAAGATACACACAAATGAAACTACATGAAGATGTTTTACACATTACGTTTTACACCTTGGCGCATTGTAATTACACAGACATGTATTTTCAATTTCAAACTCAAATCCCGCAAAATTGTCAATCTTTAAAAAAGAAGAAGAAACACATAGAAAACCACGGACCGCCCTTTCCATTATTGCGCTTGGCTGATTCCCTTCCCTTTGCTGAACGAATGAAAGTTTTATAATGAATTCTGAAGGGTCTCGTCCATAATGTGCACTAGTCAGTGAATAGGCATGAAGAACAGAGGGGGAAATAAGACAGAAAAGCTGTTCGGACAAATCTGGGCAGTCACTTGCAAAGTGAAAAATTCCTTTATTAACTACAAATGCACTTGAAGACAAAATTCGGCCCAAGCGCAACCATTTTTTGGGAGGATAAAATATGACAATACATGTACATTCAGTAGGTGTGACTTACGTGCAACAAACCTCCAATGTCTGACAGTAATTCACCGTCTGTTTATAAGAATACAAGGAAAATATCTGTTAATTCTTTAAAACTACTTAATCAATTTTTGCAGCAAAACAAACCACCCTATATAAAACAAAATAGAACAAAACAAAGAAATGTCAACTTTATTTTAGATAACTCCAGATTGAAATGGATGAGCTATGAGATAAACACGTCTGTCATTCCCACGAACATCATGCCGCAGCTTTCTTTTGCGCCGTGCATTAGTGGCAAATCCCTGCAGTTTAGTCGGAATCTCCTTAGGAGAAATCCTGCGTGCATTCTCGGTAGTACGCAATCCTGAGATTTCACACAGCGTTTGCATCTATAAGACAGATCGCCCCCCGGCGGCCTGTACACGCGTGCACCGAGAGCCCGGTCTGCCGTTTGATTTATGTGTACATTGTAGTAACCACGCACGCCGCCGTATAGCGTTAAGAGATTACTTAACACCGCGCCATTGCATATATACATGTATACTCACACACGTCATGAATTATGCACCCATCCCTCGGAAGGTTTCTTGAGCTAAAATGTCAACTTTGGCAGCTAGCTCAGTTCCCCGCGGCTCAGAGAAAACCGGTGGAAAATGTCACTAGAGTTTTTCCCCAGACAGTGATTTCTAGATTTGTGAAGGCACGGACATTCAAAAACAATTGAATGCTATTTTCGTAACAGAAATGGCCCCTCCTGATTTTGTCAAAGCACATTTGTTTTCCATTTTGTCTTTATTGTTCTTGTCTTCTCAGTGAAATGCTAAGCTATTCACGACAAGTGTGTATGTGCACAGATTTATGTGCATGACGCCAAGATAACCATGTTTCACGAACATGCTTGAAATATTTGACCTGAATCAACATTTCTCAAGGCCCTGGCATGTTTATGATGTTCATATAGCAGTTTCACACCGTAGCTGATGCAGTGATTTTCAAATCACTGGCGCAGCACAGTGAGGACATTGGAGCAATTTATTAATTTACACAGCTGAGTGACATGTAGGCAGCTGTTATTTTTAGCCGCAGTTCCGCATTAATTAAAGATGTGCTGCCATGCTCAATCAAGTTTTTTTTCTTCTCCAAATTAAAATTAACTTGTACGTTTTATTTTAACCAAACGAAAACCCCTTATTTGAGTTGCTGTTTTGCACACAAACAGATCTGCAAGTAGACCCTACCAGAATACCCTACGAGAACTGAAATATTGCTGGGTTGTAAAGTTTGGCAAGTAATTATGTGGGATAAAAATGCGGGCCGATCGTTTCTCATTCAGCGTCCCATTCGAAAGTGATTAACAATTAATAACAACATCTATTTTTAGGGTTAAACTTGAAAAGAGCACAGACAGTAGGCCTCTTCATGCACATCTTTAAGACACATGTACATGTCTCACTCAGGTGAAGTGTGCACTTGTCATCAGTGAATATTGTATAAAAAAATGTCGGCAGCTGTTGAGGCGTAGTTGTCATCAGTGTCTTCCCCTGACCTGTGTAGCTTAGCGTGAGGTCATAGGCCAATCGCTCAAGTTCAACAGGTTGGTGTGGAATTGACTGAATAGTGACAGAGGAAACTGAGGCAGTTCAGTGGACATGGTTCAGTGACAACACGCTGAATAGGAAGCGTTTTTTTTTTTTACCCTAACGTGCCCAAATCCTCCAAAATCCCCTTTGCAGGGTTGAGGCTACATGGCAAAAGTATGTTGTTGATTTTGGGGGATGCACTTTTGGTTATGCTCAGTCGTGTATACATTTACCCGGTACATGTACCGGTAGGCCTAGATTATACTTGAAATCCTCCGCACTGCTCCAGGATGTCACTGGCTCTGCCTCAACATACTGACAGTGATTGCCAGAGGATTTTTGCAGGATTGAGGCAGTAGGTCACCCCTCCATGGACCACACTCAAGAAATTGGCCTAACGGAGGATTTTGCAGGATTGAGGCTGTATGCAATTTTTACACAGAGGCAGTTGGAGGATTTTGCAGGATTGAGGTTGCATCCTAGCACAAATGCCAAGGGAGTTAGGGTTAATAGAAGAACACAGGAACATTGGTTTCATTTAAATGTTGTTCAATAATAACCTCACCCTTCAATAAATGTCGTGACAGTCAGTTCATACTTAATTTTTCCAGCTAACCAAATCAATGTTCACTCGTTTATGATTTTCCCCCCTATTTTTTTGTTATTGTTGCAGGTGCTTGTTGAGTCACAACTATGTCCACCTTGGCAAGTGGTTTGTTCGGCCCTACGACAGCCTCCCTGCTTCTCCTGACTCGTTTAAGTAAGAACTCAATCCAAGCCTACTAGATTCCTGGTATCAAATTTGCTTTTCGTCGTGTTCCTGGAACTTGTGCCATTATAAAGTCATCAAGTTTTTGATGCCAGACTTCCTTCTTTTTCTTTTTTTTTTGCTTCATGGACATTATTCAACTGAGGCAGTGAAAATTAAAAGCAGCTCAGATTTCAATCATGCATGTGTGCAATCTGCCCTGTTTTCATGTAGTCAGAAACAATTGGATACACATAATTTGCAGCGTTACAAGTAACAAGGCACATTCCTTAATGTTTAAATTTTTGTTATTGTATTGGGGGGGGGGGGGTGGGGGGGGGGGGGTGGATTGGAACTATATATGTAACTGAAAGGCACGTAGGAACATTTGCAATCACCCGGATACATACATTTACCTATATATTTAACGAGAAAATCCTTGCTCAAAGTGAAGATAGGACTGGTACGAAATACCCTGTGAAACTATTCCCCCTGAAAGTGATATCATTCGGAAGAAAACAATCAGCGAGGATGGTTCAGGAAAATGTTTTTTTTTTAATGTGCATTGGCAATAGAATCCAGTTACGAGACCTAAAATTTGTGCACACTGGTATGTTTTCTCTGTTTTTTTTCCCCAAAATGTTCAGTATCCAGTATCCACTGAGCTGAAATTCAACAAGCTAGTTGTTATGCAGCCTTCTTCAGATTTTGAGCAATTTTGTTTTGTTTCAAATGAAAAAAAAGATTGCAGAAAAATTGCAGATGATAGTACGAACATTTAAGAAGCAATTCAACCCCGTTTGATAAAGGCAAAAGATTGTCTAGATCCTAAAAGAGAAGATCATCAAAACTTGGTGTGTGCGGCTGCGCCTGCGTAGTTAGAATACCACACTAGCTTTAACATGTCCGTTAAAAAAATGGGAGCAAAATTCTATTGTATTTAAACAACAAAACATGCATATAAATATCCATCTAAATAAAATGCTGGTTAACCGGTACCCAGACAACAATCTGCCAGGGTAAACAAGGCAGTAAATCAATCCATGCTTGCAGACACGCGCTGGTACCCCGCTTGTCCTCACCGATGGGCCTGTATATATCTTGTTCACCAGACGTCTTCTGACAGTTGGTATTTTTCACCGGATATTTACCCAGTAAATGATCCCTGAAGTATTGATACATTCCAACAACAAATATTTGTACACTCGCAAATGTATGTGTACATGTACATGTGCATGTGCATGTGTAACATATTGGCTTTTGAGCTACACCATTGAAACGTAACATGTGTGGTTTCCTTTTGCGGAAATCAAAACAAAATTGAAAACATGCTGTACTCTTTCGCTGAAAAAAAAAAATCATGAGCATGTTCTTTTTTATTGGTCGTAAATGTTCTTGTGATGAACATTTAGTGAATATGTGCACAACGTGCTCAGTTTCTTGGAAATGACAAGATTGAATTTCAATTTGTTTTGCCCTACAGCGCCACACAGTAAAAATATGTAAAGTGGAGCCCAAACTGAATTCTGCATTTGTCTTAATGCATTTCCATTCTAATTGTCTATTACATGTACATCTCAGTTCTAATATTGCAAAAGTACTTTGACTCGGCACAAAGGCATTTGAAATAAAAACCCAAATGTCCATTAGAGCCTCAGAAATGAATTTTGGGTTTGGACAAAAAAGTTGAAAATCTGCATCCACATCTGTTGAAGCTTGCATTTGTGAACACGGAAATTACACAATTACAATTTTTGTGTTCACAATTAATTTATGTAAATTTATCTTATAGACATGCAATTTCACGTAAACCATTTAACCTATTTTGCAGTCTGTGCAATGAGTGACTCGCCCCGTATTTAAAGGGTAATGCATGCGTGCACACATAATCACATCATGCACCTTAATTGAAGCCACATGAAAAGACAGAATTGACCGACCAGAAACCAGTTTATCAAATACAATATTGGAGAATTGAATAATCACAATTTGCACGTCCCAATCACCGAGTGAAATATTTTCATGCGCGCTGATTACCGCATTATTTTCTCCACTGATACGACTTAATATTCATTCCCGCCCCGCCCCCCCCCCCCCCCCCTCTCCATACAATCGGCCGAGCTTGACTGATGAATTGCCCTGGTAATACATTAACGCCACTGACCTTGTGCACTACGGCCCCAGCACAGCGCGTGGGTATTATATTGACGTACGCACATGGCGCATCTTCCTACGTGGTAGTGCGAGGGCCGGTTTCTGATCATGCATGATTAAGCAGAGGACATCTGATAGGCAGTTGCCGTCGCCGTGCCGACAAGATCGGCGCTGGAGAATATTACAAATTGCATCCCTCTTCTCTCCCAAAATGGAGAAGAAAAAAAAGGGAAGAAAAAAAAAAAAAGAGTACATGTTTATGCAGATGTATTTACAAGCAGGGTGTACATTTAGGCAGTAGCGTACCGGTAGTGTACATTATGCTGTATTTGTACTGAAAGGTTTTTTTGGTTGTTTAAGCATTCAGAAATTCCAAATTATGCTAAACAGTTTGTGAATTGTGATGGAATGGTCTGTCTTCTGAAAACTGACAGTGGTACAACTGTGCATATAATTTCATTGATTTCATGCAAAATACCCCACCCCAACATTTGTGTACAGAATCATAGGCCTATATTTTGATTCAAATTTCATTTGCATCAAATTAAAAAAAAAAAAAGGATACCTCTAACAAGGGTTTTCTTGATATCAATATCGATATCTATGAATTAATATTTTATTCAAGGCAAGCAAATGTTTCATTTATTCATAAGCATGAATAAAATATGTATCATTGTGAGCTTGAATTTTTTTAATTTTTTGGCTGTGAGTGAAATATTGCTCACATACATGTAGGCCTACCATTTAATATTGCCCAAAATTTTGTATGTGGTATTATACACAATACTTGACTGTTTTTTGTTTTGTTTTTTTATAATTTTTTGTTCTAAGTTGCTATCATTTGATAATGAATTGCACTGTACATGCTTCAGTTTCAGTTCCCATAAAGGTACACGCTTCAACAGGATTCTTATTTCTGATCCTTCTGAAAAGGGATGTAGTTACACTGAGGAGTGGATCAAGTGTCATTGGTTCGCAGCCCAGGCACTTGTCGAAGTAAATTAGCACAGTGGCAGTGCACAAATGTACATACACGTGTACATGTACACAATGTACATGTACATGTACATGGTTAGTTTACGTACATGTACATGTACATGGTTAGTTTTCGCACATGTACATGTACATGTACTAGTACATGTACATGTAAGTAGAGTATACATGTACATTTAGTATACATGTACTGTACACGTACATTTACAAATGAGTCCAGCACTTCACAATTCAGTCCAGTTACAGTGCTACATGTGTACATGGGTTATTATGCAAAACAGGCTCCTTAAACAAAACCATGCCTGCACATTTCCAGTGTCGACTTGAAAGCAATACATGTAATTGGTCATTATATGATGTCATCAAGTTTTATATTCCTGCCCTTTTTTTAATACCGGTAGCTCTGCTGTTGCTGAAACTCAATATTATGATTGCCTTTTTCTTCAAGAAGAACCGCTGGAGGTGTGTGAAATTTTATGGCAGTTTCCTATTGGGAATTGTATGTACAGTACCATATTCCTTTCTTCCACAATAAAAAAAAATATGTTCTGATGGTTAAATATGCTTGGAAATGTATATTTTTATGATGACTAAATGCGTAACAGGTTATTTGTTACTGCTTGTTGCATGGTGGTTTGAACCAGTATTTGAATTGAAATACTCTGTGCACATGTACAAAAAATGTACATGAAAATATGAAACAATGCAACAAGATATTTACATGTATCTGCAGAAATCTGAAAAAAAAAAATCATTTTTCCAAACTCTGAAATGCACATTGAATGTACTATATAATTTGGGGCAATCAAATTATTTCAGGCGATCTCGCCTCCAAAGTACAGTGCTCTTCACGTTTCTACACATGTTCAAATATATACATGTACATATAATGCCCAATAATCTTAGCACCAAATAATCCCTCTAGACATTTTGGCAGATCAAACCTCAATGGCTAAGCCATTGGGCTCCATTGTACCATACACCCAGCACATGTGCAGCATTCTATAGTCTGGCTGATGATGCACTTATTTGCATATGAGACCGAGGCAAACATCAACAGAATGGGGCAAGTCAGCAGTCCTTTGATGTGTATTTTATTGGTCTACTGTGCGGTCATGCATGGATGGGCGCTTGCATTATAATGATTGCATCTATACTGCTGGACTCCAACATGTGCCCATATGTGGGTGCAAGTAGACATGTATTATGAGCAATCTGTTGGTTATATTTTTTTTTTTTTTTTTTTTTACATATTTCAACAGATCAATATTATTCTATTCCTGCAGCCGAGCTGTTAACAAACCTGATGCCTATTTATGTACAGATTATCATTTTTTTATAAGATTTGTGTGTGTGTGTAAAAACATGAATAAACTCTTGATTCCATATTAGATCAACACTGTGCCAAGGTTTTCCCAGAAGTCTTTGTGGAAATATCATTAGAATGTTCTTTGTATCGGATTTTCATACGGACTGGAAAGTCCTGCTAATTGTCAACATGCTCGCAGTCTGCATGACTGCCATACGATCAGTGCGTGGTAATTTGATTTGACGATATTATGGTCGTACCGTAGGAAGACCGGTGAAAAAGCAAAACATGGCCTCTGTGCACACAGCGTTTGCCACCGTTCAGGGCCAGTTCACATTGTCACACTATGTCACATGTGAAAACAGCATTTTACAGCTCTCTGAATGAAGTCGTTATTCATTTCATTCAAATGCACTGACCCCTCACGTTGGTAACCCAGGACGGGTATGTCAGTACCACCCCCCAGTGAGAGACCAAAAAGTGTTGCAGGGTACCAGCGGCTCCTCAGTGACATGCAGGTCAAGCCCAAGAGTCAGGCCGAGGTGGAGAGAAGTGTCCGGTTACCGGCTCCTTGCAGGGGGGGGTGACACTGGATTGTCCCCGGCTCCCTGCACATCTATTTACCAATGGAAATTTCACTCCGCGTTAATAAGGGATCATGTGTACAGTGCAATGTGCGGCACGGTTTGGCCTGATCAGATCTAGTGGTGTGCGTGCCTGCGTGCGTATGTCTGCAGGGCAATCCAAGTGTTCTGTGCATTTTTAGGGTAGTTAGGGCATATGGCCTGTGAAATGAATACACGTTTGGATGTGAGGAAATCTGCTGGGCCGGCAATCCTGAGCCAAGGGGGAGGGTGAGGTGTCGGTGTTTGTACAGGGGCCAAATCAGGTGGGATACCTGCTGGTGAAATATTAGCCCCAAATATTTGAGCGAACCCGAAACCTTGTGTTCCTTCTTATGTCTCTACTTCAAATTACATGTAATAAAATATAAAGTGACACAAAATCATCTGATTATGTTCCAGAAAAGTTGTTATATTTTTTTAAAATTGTTTTTGAAGGCATGTCACTCAGTCAAGAGTTAATAAGAAACATTATGACACTGTATTCATATTATTACAGAAACTCAGCAGTTGCAGCTCTTTAATTGAAAACCTCCCCCCCCCAAAAAAAAGATGTTCACAGGCAGATTCTGAGAAGTTACTGAGACTCGCGTTAATAACCACCTCTATGATTTGATTTAAGCTGGCGACATTTAAAAAATCTTTACATCAGCGGGTTTTGCCAAGGTTGCCCTGCTAAGCCGTCGGGATTTTAGACCTTTGTGGTTACCATGGAAACAAGAGATGTCTTTGATTATCTTAAAAGTCTCTTTTGACGGAGACTGTTGTCCTTCGTGCAAGAAGACGGAAGGACTTGTAATGAAAAGCCAAGGCCCCCCCCCCCCCCCCCCCCCCTGGTCAACATCATAATTAATATGTACGGTTCGGTCCATCTTCCTCTTCACCCCCCCCCCCCCCCTCTCTCTCTCTCTGTCTTAGAAAATGTCTTGCCATTTGGGGTGAAATCCTATACCGTCCTTTGGGTTGAGAAATCTAATTGATGCAACTCCCCCAAGAGATCCCGACGTCAGTTTTGAAGGTTGCGGGATTTTCCTTTGGCGTGTTCAAAGGCAAAAGACCTGTCAGCAGTGCTTTTTGTGCATTCGCATGTCATTGATTAGGCAAACATTCACAAGCCCGGGAGGGACCTGCTAATATGGCATGCCGCACTCCTCCTTATCCCCCCCCCCCTCCCCCCCACCGAATCAAATAATGAAGTTGTGGGCTATGAATATTCATGACAGATCCCTAAGTACACAAGCTCATGCATTAAACATCGGGCGGGATTGATTCCGCCGTACACGCGCTGAATGCTTTAACACGCTCTTGTGTGGCGTCATCGTGCACTGTGAAATGGCACTGAATTTACAGTGCATATTATCTGAATGATATTGTGTCAAATCTTGTCAGGTAAATCCGCCAGGTGTCATATGCATTCACGATAGTGTGTACAGTTGCACAATTTATCATCTGTTTATATTTGTTCTTTGTTAAAAAAAAAATTCCATATGAACTGAATTGGTTTCTACTGTTTCTTTTTACGAAGTCTTTCAACAACGAAACTGCAGCCTCATCAAATCTATGGAATTCTGATAGACAGTGAAATACACTTTTTTTATAGAAATAAAATGAAAATTTGTGCACGTTGGAAAATGTGCTTCACCCATTCTCGCTTGATTTAAAGAGAATACCTTCAGTCTAACATTGACTGTATGAAACAAGTTCACCCTAAAATGCTCTCAATGTTGTGAGATTTATAAATATCACAGATAAACAAATAATAATAATTTTTTTTTTTGTATTTTTCGTTTTCCTTCTCTGCAGCGACCACTTGTCCTTTGCCTTCAGTTTCTTCCTTCACGGTGAGAGCACGGTGTGCGCCAATGTGGAGGTGTCACTCCACCAGCCCGTCTGTCGATTGTCACTGGATCATCTGGCTCTGGCTCAGGGATCTGCCAGTGGCTTTCAAGGTAATCCTCCCCACCCATTCCCCTTGTTCCTAAAGCAGGTCTGTCGAGTGTCGTTGGATCACCTGGCTCTGGCTCAGGGATCTGCCAGTGGCTTTCAAGGTAATCCTCCCCAACCATTCCCCTCGTTCCTAGAGCAGGTCTGTCGACTCACTGGATCACCTGGCCCTGGCTCAGGGATCTGCCACTGGCTTTCAAGGTAATCCTCCCCCAACCATTCCCCTCGTTCCTAAAGCAGGTCTGTCGACTCACTGGATCACCTGGCTCTGGCTCAGGGGTCTGCCACTAGCTTTCAAGGTAATCCTCCCCAACCATTCCCCTCATTCCTAGAGCAGGTCTGTCGACTCACTGGATCACCTGGCCCTGGCTCAGGGATCTGCCACTGGCTTTCAAGGTAATCCTCCCCCAACCATTCCCCTCGTTCCTAAAGCAGGTCTGTCGACTCACTGGATCACCTGGCTCTGGCTCAGGGATCTGCCACTGGCTTTCAAGGTAATCCTCCCCCAACCATTCCCCTCATTCCTAGAGCAGGTCTGTCGACTCACTGGATCACCTGGCCCTGGCTCAGGGATCTGCCACTAGCTTTCAAGGTAATCCTCCCCAACCATTCCCCTCATTCCTAGAGCAGGTCTGTCGACTCACTGGATCACCTGGCCCTGGCTCAGGGATCTGCCACTGGCTTTCAAGGTAATCCTCCCCACCCATTCCCCTCGTTCCTAAGCAGGTCTGTCGACTGTCGTTGGATCACCTGGCTCTGGCTCAGAGATCTGCCACTGGCTTTCAAGGTATTCCTTCCCCACTCATTCCCCTCGTTCCTAAGCAGGTCTGTCGACTGTCATTGGATCACCTGGCTCTGGCTCAGGGGTCTGCCACTGTCTTTCAAGGTAATCCTCCCCCACCCATTCCCCTCGTTCCTAAAGCAGGTCTGTTGACTTGTCACTGGATCACCTAGCTCTGGCTCAGGGGTCTGCCACTGGCTTTCAAGGTTATCCTCCCCCACCCATTCCCCTCGTTCCTAAAGCAGGTCTGTCGACTCGTTGGATCACCTGGCCTTGGCTCAGGGATCAAACATTGGCTTTCAAGTTAATCCTCTCCCAGCCATTCCCCTCGTTCCTAAAGCAGGTCTGTCGACTCTCGTGGGATCACCTAGCTCTGGCTCAGGGATCAACCATTGGCATTGAAGGTACCCCTCCCCCTTCCCCAACTCTATTGCACCACCTCCTTCCCCCATTCCCCCCTCCCCAATTCCCCACCCCTCTCAATCCATTAGCGGGTCTGTTGACTGTTGCTAGATCTGTTGACCCTGGCTCAGGGAACTGCTACTAGCTTTCAAGGTACCCCCCCTCCCCCCCCCCCTCCCCCCCCCCTCCCCCCCCCCCCCCCCCCCCCCGCCCTTCTCTCCCCACCCCCTCCCAAGGGTAAAGAACATCAGAGAGATTCATTTCCTGACCCAGAAAAGTCACAGATCAGCTGAGAGCCGGTCACAAACAGTGTAAATCTTATGACATTTTGACTAAATGTTCAATTTTTTTCCCCTGTTGCTGTACAGTCATTCTCACCCCATATGGTCTGAGTGGCGTACTGACGGGTCAATCCTACAAGGCAAACCACTCGGTCAGTCGACGGATTCTGAACGAATGGCGCCACTTCTACCCCATCAAGTTCCTAGGGGAGCAGGAGGAGGGCAGGGACACGCCCCCTGATGAGGAGGGCCAGGAGGAGGGCTTACCGGCTGTGGTCGATGTCCTTGTCGGTAAGTTTAGAGCGACCGATTGGGAATGTTGCCTTGACCAACTTGGTATCTTGCCTGACCACCTGGAGCTTTTACCGAACCAACGTGGGTACATGTCTCACCAACCGGGAATCTTGCCTAACCAATTTGGGATTTTGCCGTACAAAGTTTGGGAACTTGCCTGACCAGCTTGGTACCTGGGCTGACCAATTTAGAATCTGCCTTGACTAACTTAGGATCCCTTTGTCCAACTTTGGATCTTTCCTGACCAGCTTCGGATCTTTCCTGACCAATTTGAAATCTCGTTTGACTTACTAAGGATCCCTTTGACCAATCTAACATTACCAACTTGTCCTCTTTACATCACCCCGATGATCGTGAATAGCTTGGTATCTGGCCTGAACAATTTGGAATCTTTCTTGACTAACTTAGGATCACTTTGACCAACTTTGGATCTTGCCTGACCAACTGGGGATCTTGCCAGTCCAAGTGATGACCTTTCCTGACCAACTTGGGATCACAGACCAAATCTAGCCTGACCAACTTGGAATCTTGACTTACCAACTTATTATCTTGGCATACCAACTTGCCAGACTTGACAACCAGACCTCTTATCATGAAACTAGGCAATTAGTTTTCTTCAATCAGTCATGAAAAAAAAAAGAATGAAGTGTTTCTCAGGAAGGTAGAGCCCCAGCCACTGTTACCTCACAATAGGGCTTGATTACACTTGAAAGTGAAAGATTTTGGAGGACTCGTAAAGGTTCTTTGTAAAAATGCCTTGGGACTCATGGTTAACTCAAGGACTTGGGCACAAGCTTCAAAGCAGCATGGAAAATATTGCAAGATATTACCAGATAGCGGTACGTTTGTAATGATAGTAACCATGAATGATAATGTTGGTGCTTATATTGTGCTTTCCACACCAAAGGTAGTCTCAAAGCGCTTCACAATATTTACCGTTGCCATTCATACTCCTGGGTGGAGAGAGGCAGTTGTAGTAAATCGTCTTGCCCAAGGACACAAGCACCATGTTCCCCATCAGGGTTCGGACCCACATACTGTGGCACAGGGGTTGAACCCCGTAACCACTGGACCACGTCGCTCTATAGATGGCGAAACAAAACAGTTGGCGGAACAAAAGTACACCAAGGTACCCCTGTAACGTAAATGGCACGGTCTCCTGGTTGCGCATGCCGCGTGACTCAGAATTAGGCCACGATACCTTTTCCCTCGTCCCAGACCCCGAGTCATGGCCCCTTAATCTGTCCTGATTCATTTGATCCGGCGAAGGGGCCCCTGTCAGCCTTGACAATCGGAAAAGTCTGGCCTCAATATCAGCGGCGTGGTTTTACACACGATTGCCTGCTCGTTGCGACAGACTTGTACAATTTTTTTTTTACCAAAAGAAACTTGTCCCTAGATCCAGAGTGAAAAAAAAACCTGAGTTAAATGTTATCTCTGCTCCATGTTACTATGTTATGTTAACATTCTTTTGACAAAGCAACTCAACTGTACATGACACAATTAAATAATTAACAGCTCACTTACATACATCATTTAAAGAATTTGAACTTAAAAATCCATGTCATTTTTTCAAGATATATTTTTGCTAGTCTGTCCAATTTGATAAACGCACACAAAAAAGACTCCCCCCCCCCCAAAAAAAAATTGTAACTATATGAATGGCCTACAAGTTTACTCCCAAACCTTAAAAGTACGAACCAACCCCTTTCCAAAAAACTTCAGTGCCCTCCAAATTCCCACCGTATTTAGTGAACACCAAGGCAGATGCTTCTAAAAATATTCCACAATGTTACCAAACATCTAAGTTAATTTTGAGTGCACTCATTCTCCGGAGACCCAAGGCGCAATTCCTTGCTCCACATATACCTCGCCAGTCATTGTCACATCCTGTCGAGGGAGTCGGGGTTTTACGGGACCTGCCCTCTCCTGACAAGTCACAGGTAGAAAATGTACCGCGCCGGACAACATCTGACACAGCCCCGTAATGTTCATCCTTTCCTGCTTCAGATGTGATCCATCACCCTCAAAAAGCTGGTCCTTCCTTCAGGAGGATTCTACCGTATCAAAAAGTATTTCCTAATATTCACAATGTACCACTTGAGAATATTTGAAAGTTTCATTAAACACTGTCGGAGTTCATACTTCAACCCTAACTCCCTAGGCATTTTTGCTAGGATGCAGCCTCAATCCTGCAAAATCCTCAGACTACCTCCATGTAAAAATTGCATACAGCCTCAATCCTGCAAAGTCCCCCTGTTATTTCTTGAATGTGGCTTTTGGAGGGGTGACCACTGCCTCAATCCTGCAAAATCCTCCGGCAATCACTGTCAATATGTTTAGGCGGAGCCAGTGACATCCTGAAGCAGTGCAGAGGATTTCAAGTATAATGTTAGCCTAGATTTATGCCTGGCTGAGCATAAACAACAGAAGGTCCAGCCCAAGACATTGACACAGTGCATCCTCCAAAATCAGCCACACATTTTTTTCCATATAGCCTCAATCCTGCAAAATCTTCCATATTGCAAAGAGGAATTTGGAGGATTTGGGAAGGTTAGGGTTCATGGATCGGTCCGTCATACCTGGATGAACATTGACAAAGGAATGCCTTTGTCCCAGGTCTTCATGTGAATAACCTTGTGACCTGATTTTCAGACAGTATGGGTAGTAATTTACTTGTTATTGCTCATATAAGATTTGAGGCTTTGCATGGTGGGGTATCGGTATCGTTTCGGTTTGCGGTAACACCATGTGGTAATAACTACTGTTTAGAAGATATTAGTTCTGAAAAGAACTTGTCCTGCTTATTATCAACTTTGCTATGTAGTTTTTTGTTCTGATAAGAACAGTCCTGCTGTAAGTTCTAAACGAAGTTGTCTTTGGTCTCAACGTTTCGACTAGCCTGCTCTAGTCATCGTCAGGAGATTGTTATTGTTATTGCTCGTGATGAACTTGACCACAACTTGGCTTAACACACACCTCTGGCCCTTACTTGACCATGAAAACCAATAGTGTCGTTAATCAATGCACTACAAGCTGTGTGTATGTAGTGGAAAAAGGCCCTCATGCATGTTATCAGTGAACAGGAAACTGGTTGATCGGCTTGTGGTGACTGAGTTTCCTCTCCTGGGGGGGGGGGGGGTGGTGGTGGTAAGTTAGAAAGGCACAACGGCAAGAAGTTTGCCGAGTGACATCCAAGCTAGCCAGAACACCGCAAGTGCCTCATCAGCTTTGTCGTTAATTTAGCCCCTTCCTTGGCTTATTGTCCCAACAAGATTGTGAATCAGCGCTGTGGAATGGGACGGGTCCCAGCCGAAACATGGTTCACTTCACTCTTTATGTACAACTGCAGGCTGGTTCATACTCGGCCAAAAGCGAACTAGAACGCAAATTTGTGACGTCATGGCAGGTTTTTACGCAAAAGTTGAACACTTCAGCGAATGTTGCGTGATATCAAAAATCGCTTCGCATTCGCGAGAAGTACAAGCTGGCCTTTACTCTGTTAAAGATACAGTCCATCATTTGGAATTTGTGCATTTTGTTCGTTTGAAGCAACAAAAGTGCTCAATATCTGAAGAAGGACGCTAAACAACCAATCTGATGAAGTTTCAGCTTAGCTTCAGCTGCACTTTTCGAGAAAAGCAACATTCTAGGATCTTGATTTCATATCAAAAGTTGCTGAATCATGTTTTAAATTGGGCCTAGAATCTAGCGTCCAAGACATGTTCTCACTAGCCGATTGCAGGTACGGTACACAATGTCGCGCACTGATCCAACAAATTATAGCAACCGCGCGCAAGTGTGCGTCGTGCCAATGCTTGCGCGCGCTTCGCCGAAAAACAAAACAAACTACTAATTTGAATTTCCTACGGTGCTTCTTAAGACGCACCGTAGGAAAGGCCTTCTTTCGTTGTTTTCTTCAAAATGGCAGCTTGCCAGAAAGAATAATTTCACAGGGAGTTTTTAAGTCCCCTTACTATGTTTCAACCAAGTATGTTTTTCAACAATAATTACGCCAGCTACTTTTTGGATAGCTCCAAATGATGGACTCTGGCTTTAATAGGGCTATAATTTGTGTAATTGCACGCAGCACAGTATGTCCAGTGATTTTGATGACTCACTTCACTTTGCCATATCTTAAAGTCATCCAGGACAAGGATTCACTCAACACCTTCGCTAGACCCTTGCTTCCGGTTTCCAAAAAGAAAAACAGTCCACGCGTTGTCAGGCTGGTAATTGGTCATTTTTTTCCGCTCGTGCCCACTTCCCTATCCAAGGATGCAGGTGACATTTCATTTTTGACAGTTTTTGTTCAGGCTATGACAAGGGTCAGTGTAAGTTCTCACAGTCAACGTGCGCAACGTGCAGTCGTGTTTCTGAATTCACTACCTTATGGAGACATGGATATAATAGGGAACAAAACATTGTGTACGTCTCCACTGGGCAATTTCTATAGGTGAATATGTCTCCACAGGGTTATCTCGAAATAGATATATGGATTTTACTCAAAAACTTGGGCTTTCCAAGGTGTGTTGATCCGTCGCAAAAGTAATTTATGTGAGGGATATGAAGTCTGAATTTCAGTCCAGGAAATTAATTCTGGTTAAAATACGAGTATTTTAAAACTAGATTTTCACATCCTCAAATTTTAGTACACGAGAACAAAGAAATGACTCCACAAGGATACAAATTCCGGTATTTATGTGCGTACGGAGAGTGCATGCATTGATCATGGTGGTAATCTACCTACCCAAAATGCATTGCATTTCCTTTCAGGGATGTAGTTGAGTCCGTCACAAGTCCCTGCAAGTCCATCACAAGTCCTCCAGTCCTCATTCAAACTCACAAGCTACTCACATGCGCTTTGACAAAGGCATTCCTTTGTTATTGTTCGTCCACTGTTACTTGTAACTGGACTTGTAAATAACTTGTGACTGAACTCGTGATAGACTCGACTGCGTTCCTGGTTTCCTTCACCAGATTCTGTGTATGAGCAAAACTCACAGCATTTCCGCTAGTACCAGTAGGAATGAAGTAATTTCATTTGCAAAGTTACTTAGTGGCAAAGTTACTACCGTCTCCTTTTTTCCTTTTCTAGCCGGGGTGCGCATGTTGTACCCCACCGCCTACGTCCTGGTACCCCAGAGTGAAGAGATGGCCCATGTACCCATTGCGCCCATGCCGGGTACCACCTACCTGCCCCCTCCCCCAGTCCAGAATGCGGGAGCCAGGATACATGGCATCACAGCTGCAGGTTGGTCGCCGTTTTTTACATTAGCTCAATTTTTTTTTTTTTTACTTTTAAATCGGAAATCAATTGTAAACAACCACAAGGAAGTGGTACATGTGTGTTCACATTGTTCCCATGTCATGTGTACTGTGAGGCGTTATATCAGTCACGTTGTCCACATCGAAGAAAATGTTGGATTTGCTCTTTTATCTTTCATCTTGATTTTATCCTTATTAATGTTCGTTTCTAAACTTATTTTATAATTTGAGAGTTGTGGGTGGAGTACATGGTTGAAACTCTGATCAAGTGCTAATTTTCTATCCTTCCTGCAATTTTAAACCAAGAGCTCCGGTTTTCATGAGCAGAATGACCTGGGTGTTAAATCTGAGACCTTGCAGACTCGTGATCCAAAACTAGAATATAGAGTAAAACTTTAAGTTTGTTTAGGCTACAAAATGCCTGGTTTTGGCATGGGTTTCACAAATGTACCCTTCACTCTTCGGAAAGTTAAAACAAAAATCCAAAGATAGTAAAAAATTACTGTTTTGTTCCCTTCGATAGCCATGTCGTCCATCTCGCTGACCCCGCCCACTTCCCCGCCGGACCAGCCCATACCGGGCGAGGCCAAGATCACCATGGTGTCATCAGGGATGTACCCAAACAATTCCCCCCAGGACCCTGGGGCTATGTATGCTGCTGAGTCGTCGGACCTGTCGCCCCAGACGCTAGTGGGCCGCGTGGCCTGCCGGATGTGGCGGGAACTGACGGTGCCGGCCGATACGCCACAGCAGCAGCAGCAGCAGCAACAAGTGGTTGCGTAAGTTCACCAATCCAATATGTTTACTTGGGTGGCTTTCCGTTAAAAGTGAGACCCACCAATGTGTGATGGGCGTTCAGGCACAGAAGCGTCCCAGTAATAGCTACCGGAACCGTCACTGTAATTTCAAAATTGGATTGTTGTATATTTGGATCTTTAGAAATTATACCTCTGTAGACAAGCATGCAACTTTTCATTGGATCCGCTGATTTCGTCTTTGTTACTTGTCATGAATGCCATTACACATTGAAAAACACTGTACAAAGTCTTGTGTGGTTTGGAATTTCCGCGTTTTTTTCCCAGTTGCATGCCTGTATAGGAGATGTACTTTTACCAGGGACATCATCAAATTGTGTGGTAACTCTCTCAGGCACACTGCTGGCAATGTGCATCTTGCCTGAAAATGGCAAGATATTTAGATATTTAGTGGAATTGGCAGTTTCTGAGCAGTATACAACTCCCATACCATGATGATAGGTATGGTCTGATGGCCCATATTCTTACATGGCCAATTAGTTCTTTCTCGTGAACCCAAATTGCGGAACTTATGACGTCACAAAACTTCAAATATGTTCAATCTGTCTTTGTCCCTTCACAGCGCTCCGCCTGTTGATCAGAACGCCCTGCCGGCCGAAGACGGCTCCACTGCAACGACAGCGACCACGGAAACCAGGAGCACGGCAACCAACACCACTGTCACGTGGGACTTCAACGACCCCTCCACCAGGGCAAACTGCAGCTGCTCAAGGTGAGATCGATTACGGTTGTCTCTTCCTTGAAATTGTTATGTGGCTTCTGAGATTACATTATGCAAGCACTGTTTTGGAAGTGTTGCTGAAATGTGTCTGTACTGCTGATGTGTGTTGGGTCATAATTCTAGACTCTCTGGTACACCTGAGCCTAATTTCTAAACGTTCTCAAGTGGGAAATGTTGCTTAGGCCAAAAAAAAAAGTCTCCGGTTTCTGGTATGCGCGCTCGTCGCCGTAGCCATGCACGTTGACAAAATGAAAAAGTTTTTTTTTCAATGAAAGATGATGTCTCAAAACCGCCAAACTCACTGGTTTGACTGGAATCCTGCTGCTGCACAATTTTAACGTGTTTTTAGATTGGGTTATGGTCGAGAATAAGCTTTATGTGGCCTCTCTGGACTCCCATATATGTGCACTAAGTTTAGTCGGGCACCATTTGCAGTCATCAGCCGACATTTGAAGCAAAAAAAACGGTAAAAAAAAAAAAAAAGCCGCGTTGCCGCACCACTTTTTGGGCAAGCTCCATACCAGAAACCAGAGACTTTTTTTTTTGGCCTTAGCAACTTTATGTGCTAAGCCGACTTGTGATGGACTTGTGATTTGACTTGCGACAGACCAGTGATCGGACTTGAGATGGACTTGTGATTTGACTTGGGATGGACTTGTGGTTTGACTTGGGATGAACTTGTGATTTGACTTGTGATTGGACTTGTGATTGGACTTGTGATTGGACTTGTGATTGGACTTGTGATTGGACTTGTGATGGATTTGTGATTTGACTTGCAATAGACTTGTGATTTGAGTTGTGATTTGACTTGTGATGGACTAGTGATTTGACTTATGATTTGACTTGTATTTTGACTTGCGATGGACTTGCGATGGACTATTGATTTGACTTGCGATGGACTTGTGATTTAACGGACTTGTGATTTGACTCTTGATTTGGCTCGGGATTAACTCAACTACAGCTGTTGTATGGGAGGAAGCAAAGCGTACCTTGGTACATTGGCAGAAACATTTTGGAAAACAAATCCATTGGAATAGGGAAGAAATGCCTGCGAGAATTATTGAAACCTTCAGTGGCTAAACATGTACAGAGACACACAGATGTATAGAAATCATACAGTCACGGATTCACCTTTACTATATCACAAGTTATAAAACAAATTTTACTTGGTCTGCGTACTAACAGATTTTATGACTAAATCAAATTTTCCCTGTAAAATACTGCAAAACGTGCCTATCTCGGATGCACAGACACATACCCATATCAAATAACAAACACTCAGCAATACTTCCTTATTGCATTTTCTCGGGTCCCTACCGGAAATATTTTGGGTTGTAAGTCAGCAGATCTGACACACAGGAAGTGAATATGTCACCTTTAAATGGAGGCCTGGAAGACGAGTCACTGTGTGCCCCTTTAAAGTTGGTAGGGATTTTGCATTAAATGCATGGGACTGTAGCTTGTTTCAATGTCTTGCATTTCACTTCAGGTTAAAATGGAATGCATGTTTAAAGTTACATTCCCTGTGCTTTTAAAGAAATTCATTTTTTTTCTAGTAATAAATGTTCAACTATATTTTATTTCAACAAAAAAAAACCTTCTCTTTTCCTGTTTTGGACAGATCCGCTTTGTAAGCAGACTGGCTCCTGGTCTGTACATTATTGTCTCGCAGCCAATAATTCGAAACTGTAAAAGTGATAATTTAATAACTAAACATGGGCCACTTTTTGTTTTGGTCGATGTCTCATTCAAAAGAAAGTTCAGATTTTAAATCAGCTGACAAAAAAATATATACTGCACATGTCTGCAAAGGCCCTGGGTGTCAATTGATTTGAGCGAAGAAATTATTTTCAATTTTGTGGGGAAAATTTACAGGAAGTATGGCACATTCATGTTGTGTGGTTAGGGCTACTTGTGTATGTCTATACTTTTGTTTGTCTATTACATGTAAATCATCAGGTACACATTGTCTAATGTCATGGGGGCTTCTGTCAATGATTCTTGCTTTCTAGGGTGATTTACTAGGAACCTTCCTCATCCTTGCAAATCCCAACACCATGTGGTAAACTGTGCACAAAACAGTTGGACTCAGTTTATTAGTGGTATGCCTTATCCCACGTAAAGCACAGTCAGTTTACTAGTGCAGTACTCATTCTAACAGATCCCAACAAACCCTGATGTTGGAGTTTGGGTGGTTGGGGATCCTTAGGGTTAATAACCACAGCATTGGCATCTTGTCACAGTAAGTAGGACGGACTAACAATTCAGTTTATCACCCCTGATGGGTTGGCCAAGGATCACCTCCAAAACTATCCATTCCCCTTGGACCATCCACTTGCAAAATATTGAATGTTCCAAGTGAGATTTTGCTTCAGAAAACTCAGCCTGTCCAATTATCCTACCTCTATGTTGACGAGAACAACCCTGCTCAAGAACACAGCTGGGTGGATTCAAACCCACGACAAGAAGACCCTGCCCCTGTGCATGAGTAGAACATTTTTAGGGATAGAAAGGTCTCTTGCAATTGCTTGATTTCAGGCTTTTTTCTTCTTCCAAATTGTAACATATTGGCACCGCACAAGTTTGTGTACTTTTCCTTTATACCTCAAAATTTGGGCAAAAAGCAAAAGAGTCCACTTACATCCCTGCATTAGAATCCTGATTGCGGCAATCATAAAGTTACACAATATCCAAGCAAACCATGAGCTGTGCTACAGCTTACGGTGTAGACTCTTGCTGGCGTCCAGTTGACATGCGGAGTTACTGCCTTCGTTTGTCTGAAGGCTCTGTGATTTGTCGTCCAAGTTTCTCGTGGAAATTGGGAGGAGTGGTTGGGGAAGGGGTCAATCGGCCGATAAATTGATGTCGGGGAAGCTGAAACTTGCTCTTTTTTTGGCCATACAGAGATCGGGACAATGCCTTACAGCTATGGGTCTGCTGTTCTTTGTAACTCTCTGTTGTTTCTTGTCTTTGTCATTTCCAATGAAGTTAGAATTCTAACGGTAGTACGTTGCCAGAAATAGCTAAGCCTTAATCTTGGTAAGGGAAAGGGTGGGGATACAGGGCAAACAGCATGGGGCTTACACCCATAGCCTTGGGGTAACATGGCTGTGTGGAGATAGGCCCCTATAGATGTGTGCTTGCCTGACGTACGTGCAGTGTTGACACTGAAAGTGTCAAATTGTCATCAGCAATTCAATGTACATGTTAACATGGAAGCCATTCTGCCAGACCAGTGAAAAGTATGTCTGCATGGTCAGATTTGTCTCTGCAGGGTTCCCACGGTCATGGAAAAATCACGGAAAGTCCTGGAAAAAAGTCACGGAAAATTGGGAAAAATAAGATGGTCATGGAAAAGTCACGGAAATCAAGATCATGTAAGGGTTGTTTTTGATGGGCCGCTTTAAGGATGGCTGTAAGGGGAGGATGAGGCCATTAGTTATTAAAACTTATTTTCAAAAGCTAACAAATGGTTAGCCTAACATCAGCCGTTCATCAGTATCATAATACCAAACATCTTTTTTTCTGCAAAAGGTGAAATGTCATGGAAATTGTCATATTTTAGTCCTGGAAAATCATGGAATTTGGTTTTCAGATTTCTGTGGGAACCCTGCTCTGGGGCCAATTTCATAGAGCTGCTTAAGCACAAAATTTGCTTAAGCTCAAAAACGTCTTGCTTAATAAAATCAGGTTACCGGCCAAAACTCCATGCGATTGTTATGCTAAGTAAACAACAGCTAAATACCAGTCACAAGCAATGTACATCACATGGAGTTTTGGCCGGTAACCTAATTTTACTAAGCAATGTTTTTTTCGTGCTTAAGCAAATTTTCTGCTTAAGCAGCTCTATGAAATTGGGCCCAGGTTTTGGCTTCATCTATGGCTCCAGAACATTTTTCAAACATTTTTACTCGGAACCACGTGAATGTACATCACATTAGATGTTTCTCTAGCAGTAACTAGAGGTTTGCAAAAATGGTGAAGCTGAAGCCGAAACCAAGATTTGAAAAATGCCCATGTTATGATGATGAAAGGGTTTTTAAATAAAAGCTGAGCAAACAGGATATCCTGCATGCTGTAGGACGCGATTGCTTTCCCAGTCAAGCACTGAAATCACTTCTGCTCAAGCAGGAGAAAGTTCAGATTTTAAATCAGCTGACAGAAAAAAATATATACTGCACGTGTCTGCAAAGGCTCTGGGTGTCAATTGATTTGAGCGTAGAGATTATTTTCAATTTTGTAGGAAAAAGTTACAGGAAGGGATTGTGATTTTGTGTGTCCACATTAGTGTACATTTCATAATACACTTTGTAAAGTGGACAAAATGAAGGGTAGACTTAACTAAACACATAAAGAGAATGGGTGTTTTGGTTGGAAACCTACCATTATTATCCAGAATGTGAAAGTTAAAAGCAGTCTCAAATTTCGAAATATTTTTAAACAGGAAATGCGTAGAGCTTTTTGTTTTCATTCGTCATTAGGACTGTGAAATGCCCAGAAATCGTGTCGCACGACTGTGTCTGCAACTTCCTGGCCAAATATGTTTAAAAAAAGAACATGATTTCAACCCCAGTGCCTCCGTGACCTTAACGCCACTGTAGTTCCTTCCTTCCTTTATGTATTTTCTGATGACTTGACCCATTATTTCTATGGCAAAATAACTGTGGCCAGTTCCAACAGTCTTCGGTGTGCACACTATATGCACTATGGCAACTTGAAAACACAAATGCAAACAAATGCAGAGTTTGTATCCTATCTGTTACTATGCAGTGTGTTGTGGATTATAGGAATTAGTTCGCATCTATTGTCATTAGCATCACAGTCAGTACTAGTGTTACTAATTGTTGATGAGATTTGTTTTGGTCATAGTTTAAAGTAAAAGCAAACACGGGACTTGGTGATCCACCAGCCAAGTCTGTCACAAGTCTATCACAAGTCAATCACAAGCAAATGACAAGCCAATCAGAAGTCATTCACAAGTCAGTCACAAGTCAGTCACAAGTCAATCACAAGCAAATTACAAGCCAATCACAAGCCAATCACAAGTCTATCACAAGCCAATCACAAGTCTATCACAAGTCAATCACAAGTCAATCACAATTCAATCACAAGCCGATCACAGGTCATTCACAAGTCATCCAGCCTCAACTAACGCACTGTTCAAATGAACCGCGACATTCAAATGAACCGTGACATTCAAAGGCATTCCTATGTCATTGTTCATCTCCTGTTACTTGTGACCCGACTCATGATTGACTTGCCAAGTTATCACTGACTCAATTACAAAATGTCCAGCATATTCAATGTCCTCATTATAATCCTATGAGCACTGAGAGTCAGTCTGGTCATTTTTAATTGATCCTCATCAGTGAGGGACTTCTCAGCTTTAGTGGCGGACCCCTACTTGTTTCTAATCTCATTGGTACAGTTGGTAAAATATTAAATATGGCCATTAAAATCAGGGTGTCTCCGCTTACAATTATTTTTGTTAAAGAGAGTGTTGTTTTCTCTGTATCAATTATAAAGCTACAAAGGAAGCCAGTTTCCCTGAAGTGTGTACTATTAAACATCATGTAACACGAGTTGCTTTTCAGAAGGGGAGAGGAGTGTGACATATGGACATGGGTGTGTGCCAAAAGACTGGAAGTATCTGATTTCATTGTATCCTGTTTGAAGTCATATTTAGGCCAGGGAAATTGCTAAGCGGGAAGTTTAACGTAGTCTTTTGGACGAGTACCGGGCAATTTCTTGACATTCACTGCAGTATAAAGTTTTGTCGGTAACTATGTTTCTGCGCTAAGCAGATTTTTCTTAGGAGAGTTTAGTCATCACGATGTGAGGCATCACGTTTTTTTCGTTAGCTGTCAAATGGTTTTCCCCCATGATTTAGAAACTGCCTTCCCCTGTTTTGGGGGGCAATTTTGCAAAACAGTGACAAAGTTTGTGTAATTTTCTAGTTTAATAACTTGTTTGTTTGTGTACGGTTTGTTTTTTGAAGAGTTGTGTACTTTTGTGTGTGTACTTTTTCCCTGTTTATACTTGACATGGTACCACAGTTGTGCAACTTGGTAGTCATTTAAAACAAGAGATAAGTACAGGCCTCATTGCTTTTTTCTTCTACATTTTACAGTTTTAGGTGGCATTTACAGATATTGCATAAAAAAAACTATCTGTGTGTTGTATTGTTCTAATGGTGAAATTTTATGGTGTTTTGGTCGTTTTTGTCTTGTAGGCAAAAGTCTTTGAAGCAGAAGGGAGGCATGGCTTTCAGCAAGTCGCATCCCTCCAGCCACATGAGCAGCAAGCACTCCAAGTCCGACTCCAAGCAGGACAGGCAACAGCGCACCCAGCGTCCAATCACGCCCTTCCACCATCGCAGCGTCACCTGCGAGGATATCCTGGCATTGGAGCAAGAAGCTGTCAACCAGCGACTGGCTGCGCAGAATGCAGTAACCAGCCTGCCTGCTGCCGCCGCTGCTAACGGCGCTCAACCACAAGCCACGCAGCACGACGGTAAACTCTCCCAGGGCAAGTTCACCCAGCCCAGCCCGGCTGCCTTCCGGCCGGGTGGCCCCTCCGACTCGGTCCTGACCGAATCGCCGCCGTCTGTGGTCCCCTCGCCCCTGGTGCCGCCACCAGTGAGCGCCAGCAGCGCAAACGAGAGAACTATGCCCGCACTGAGTCCCTACCCTCCGGCAAGAAGCGGCAGCGATTCGGGAACTCCCACGACCACCAACGCGCCGGCCGGCTTCTCCCGATCCGACACCACTCCCACAAACCACGACCACCCGGACGGACTTCCGATCCCGCCCATGATGGGAGGTTCCCAAATGATGGACATTCCCAGGGGGATGGAGGCTCACATGATGGCGGAGCATCAGAAAGAGGAACGGGAAGAGGACCCGCTGTGGCAGTGTTTTAAACTCCCCAATGGGTTCGACTATAAGAGACCCCTGCTGCCGGCTCAGTGTTACGAGTTGGACGATGCGGACGGCGGAGGTTGGGATGCACTCTATGACTTGGACAATAACATTGAGTGAGTCTTTCATTTGCCAACTTCGGTGCTCGATTTGTCTAAAACTTCAGTCTACTGTTGTAGGCTTGTGAACGGTTTGTATTACGATACTCCAGATACAGACGATATCAAGTTTGACGTGATTGCTGTGGCTTTGGACATAGTTTCGATGCTGCCACATTTGTGTTTATGTTATGTGTTCATAGACCATGCAGTCTTTTCACTCGCATTGAGTATTCATCTCAAATTTCAGATTTATATGCTTAGGGTAGGCCTGCAGTGTTAACCCAAAACTGTTGCCAACTGCAGTTGCAATTTCATGCAAACTAGACCCAATTTCATAACTCTGCTTACCACAGAACTCTGTGCTTACAAAAATCATTCCGTGCTTACAGTGAAAACAAATCTGCATTGACTCTTAAGCAACAAGTCTTTAGTACGAGGACACACAAATGTGAAGAAGCCAACACTCCTTGCGAAAGATGCACATTTTTTGGCGTTAGTTTCATTCTTCTCTCACCAAAGTAGAGCCAGAAAATTGCGATCTTCTGGCTGCCCTGCACTGGTTCTCAATGTTTTTCACCGTTCGGCACCAGTACAGCACTGTATTACATTGTATTTATTCCCCGATCATCCATAAAACCATAGAGTGTCGTCTCGTTGAAGTTTGGTGAAGTACAGGGAGCAATATTCATGCAGGGCAGTTTGGGGCAATGCATGGATAAAACAGAATAGAACTTTTTAATGACAACCTGAACCGTGTTTCTTTCGTCCAGAGTGTTCTCCCAACCTCAGAAGAAGTTGAAGCCGGAGAGACCGTTGCTGACCAATCAAGACCTCCTGTCGGGCAACTTCTGCGTGGATCAGCTGGACTACAAACCCGCGCATCGTGCCGTGTCGCCGGAGCCCATCGACCCCTACGAGTTCATGGAGCAGGACCCCTCCCCAACAGTTAGTTCTGCCATAGTTTGATTTTGCGCCGATTGCCCCAAATGGGCTGAAGGGGATATTTTTCCTAATAGAAAAATTGTTTTAGAGTCATACGTATGAATTGTGATTTGCATTTGGGGGGTGTTGTTTACAACTGACATGCTTGATAAAAAGAACAGTTGAAAGCCACGAGTATGGATGTAACCCCCACCTTGTCAGATGAAAACAATAGTCTTAGTATTTATCCTATCTGCTTATGAAATCTAAAATTCTTCGAAAGCACTCATGGCACTGTTTACAAGCCCGAAGAAATTGTGGAAGCAGAAACTAACAATGAATATTGTATTTCTGAGGTGGGAGAGTAACCCTATATAAATATTCTGGGGACAACACACAGAATCAGTTAGGGACTGACAACTCAATTCACCTTTTGGCCAGGGTGAGATTCAAACCGTGGACACACAGGGAGAAAGTACAGCGAGAAAAGCATCACTGCCCCAGCATGGCTTTAACGGGGTGTCCCCCAAAAACCCTCAAAGCCCCCTCTTTTTCACAGCTTTCTAAAAAACACAACACAAATATCGATGCATACATGTATTTAGAGAGTATATTTCATTAGCTTTTCAACACCGAAACAAATCTTTCCAATCGGGAAAAGATTTATTGAGTTATGGCCAATTGAAAACAAGTACTGCTTTTTCATTTTGTCCATGGCGGCTGATTTTTGACTGCCGCAATAAGAACATGGGCCGAAACTTGCATCCGCGAAAGAGGCTACCAAGTAGAGGGCAGAGGCAGAGCAGCACAGTAAACATCTAAGAAGTTAACAAGACGGTCCTTTTCAGGACTACCATTTCTTCCAGAAGGAGAAATGACCAGTGTTGCAAAAAAATGAAAAATAGAAATGAACCAGTTAAAGAAAGAAAGATGAAAAAAATTAAAGAAAGCAAAACTACCCTCACCCCAAATCCATTACATTCCTGATAAATGACAATTAAAACCGTGGACAAAATGAAAAACGTGTCTATGTGAAGCGGCTTCAGCAGCTTCCACAGACAGAGATGAAACAGACCATTATCATGTTGCGGCCATCTTGATTTTTCCCATTCGAATCAACGTAACCAAAGCGAGGCTGGAAGGACAAAATAGTCAGGTTCCTTTTTGCACAAAAAGCATTACCATTCAGTACTGTTATTGGATACGGGGAACATGACTGAAATGCTGGCAGCATGATATCGGGCTATTGCAAGCCGTAGCGAAGGCATTCAGATGTGGCCTAAGTCACTAGTAGGGCTACAACAAACCCAATGTGTTTTTTTCTGTTTGTGCACTCCACCCAGCAGAGTCGCGTGATATCGTGCCGCAGCCGGGGCAAGGACGTGAAGGGCAAACCCAAGGGACTAGCGCCGCGGCGGAACAGCAACCGCAAGGAACGCAAGAAGCTGGAGGAGGAGGCGGCAAGACGGGCCGAGGAGGAGAAGATGAAACAGGAGCAACAACTCGCCCAGGAGCAAATGCAGACCAACTCGGTGGACGAAAAGGGTAGGTCTTATCTACTCACAGTCGCGTCCTTTTGTAACATGGCATTATTAACCACATTGTGTCTTGAATGATTGCCTTCATTTGATCCGCCCGTTGTCTGAACAGTCACAGACAGTTAAAAAAAAATTGTCTGTTCCCCTGCCACGCTTTTTTTATGTAAGGCTAGTCCCCAACAGTCAGATCACATTTCTTATAAACAATGTGACTAATCATATTCCATCAACAGACAAACACAGTTAAAGAGGTTGTGGAATGCTTGAAGACATTTCCGTCATTTTTCGGGTATATGTAGCCTAAGGTGTGATGAAATAAAAACGACTATTGTTTCTGTCATAAAATGAGTACAAAAGGTACTTTTGAGAGCTGTTTTTCAGGTCCTGTTTCGACCCGAACGTGCAATTTGTGTAAAAGTCGTCGTCGGGGGCAGCAAACAAAACACAGTAAATCGTGACGTAATAAACAGGACTCCCGATGCAGCGTAGTATAAACGAGTCCTGTTTATTACGTCACGATGTACTATGTTTTGTTTGCTGCCCCCAACGACGACTTTTACACAAATTGCACGTTCGGTACCTTTTGTACTCATTTCATGACAGACACAATAGTCGTTTTTATTTCATCACACCTTAGGCTACATGTACCCGAAAAATGACGGAAATGTCTTCGAGCATTCCACAACTTCTTTAACTGGTAGGGACAGCTGGCTTATCAATCTCCTTCAGTCAAAGCATAGGTGAACCAAGTTACGTAAACAGTCACAGCCAGTCTTTATGTGAACAGGGAGCTCTTAACTTTTTGAAAACAGTCTCTTGATTGATGTTGAGGACTGCAGGACTTGTGATTGACTTATGAGGAACTTTTAGGACTTGTGAGGGAGGTGTGTGCTTTTGCGCTCATTGATTACTGAACAGAAATAACAAAAACATCTCAAAGTTGGTCGCTGAGTAAGTAGGGCCAATAACAACGGACTGTTGACTCTGTTGATTGTCGTCTTGTTACAGGTCCTCTCTCGAATCAGTCAATGGGTCGGCTGGATTCCAGTAGTTTCACGCAGGTCAACGACCTGAAGGTCACGTACGAGGATCTTGACCAGCTGTTCCAGTCTTCGGACGACGACGATGACGGGGTAAGCAGAATAGTGAGACCCTCGGCCATGACTGTGGACTCCCTGCCCATTTTTTTTTAACAAATTGAAATCACCCATTACAAGGCTGAATACCACTCGAAGGTACACGTAAAGGGCTACAAAATAAGGAACAGAGATGGGCACAAGGGTATATACAAAAGTACAGGTTATGTCGCAAAAAACCTTACAGTTGAAACCAAATTAAAAGTATATTGCGTGGGGGTTTTGGAATATTTTCAAATTACCTCTAAAAGTCAGATAACCAATCTACCGTACAAACTTTCTTCCATTCAAATCGATGCATTGGAACAAATGCCATGCTTCATCAAAATCAAGGGTTGAAAATCGTCTTGGGCCACTTTCTTGGAAATTGAGAAACGCAGTTAGAGAAACACACCAAGGATTTATTTCCTTTGATAAAAAGTAACGTGACTTATTCTATCGGCTTCGATCAGTAAACTTGATAAATAAAACAAGTGGCCCAAGTGGTTTTTCAAGTCCCGTATTGTGATTACTGTACTGTATCAGCTGAAAAGCATTTGGAAGACCACTTCGTCGTGTCCGTACAACAAGGTCGTATCTCCTAAAATGGTGTGTACTTGAAACGCGAGTTTTCAATGTCAAAAGGTCGTATCTCCGCTTAAAATAATCCAGATGTACACACACAGTCATTGGACGTTGCGATACGCGAGATACGACCTTGATGCACAGAGCGTATTCGTGCAATATATGACTTTGTTGCAGAGTTCAGTTACTACCTTGTTGCCCTGACGCGACAAATTATTCTACTCAGCAATACATCTGACACAATTTTGAATACTACCCAACTTTTCTGAAAAAAATGCCCAATTTGATTTTTGAGGGACAACCTGTATACCTTCTTGCTATACATGACCTCATCTGAAAAAAATTCATGGGGATCAGAACAGATTGAGTTCAGTGAAGAACCACTTGGTCTTGAACGGGATGATCAGCATAGATGCTTTCATCATAGTGGAATCCTGCCATCAGAATTAGAAGCTTTTACTGCAGTGGCGTCACGCTCACGTGCATGCTGCACGCATTCTGTAAGACGAGGCACACGTGCATTTTGGTATTCCTATTGGTGGAAGGAGACCGGAGTGCGTGTGCACTACCTGAGCGGGAGCCTTGCGCCGCCGCCTTGCGCCACCGCCTTGCGCCACCGCCTTGCGCCACCGCCTTGCGCCACCGCCTTGCGCCACCGCCTTGCGCCACCGCCTTGCGCCACCGCCTTGCGCCACCGCCTTGCGCCACCGCCTTGCGCCACCGCCTTGCGCCACCGCCTTGCGCCACTGCCTTGCGCCACTACCTTGAGCCACCGCCTTGCGCCATCCGCCGGATTTGTCAATACCCCTAATACCTCTTCAAATGACCCTTCGTGGTGGAATAGTCAATTCAGTAGTCAACCGTACAACACAAGCCTTGAATTGGTATCTTATTTTGAAACCCTCATTCTATTTTCTCCAGGGCCCTTTTGAGGACAAGGCCCAAGGGCCCCCATCAGAAGAGGCTAAACCTCCGCCAGGGACCACAGGCCCCGTTGGTAAGTCAGCCTTGCAAAGACACTGTCGTCAAAGTAGATGCATGCATTAGGTCTTACCTGAACTCCTTGGCTACAGCCTGCAATTAGACATTGCTTTAATATCCGGCTTATAAGTGTGACATCACCATGTGTACTTAACACGAAGCAGCATAGCATGAGTGGAACCGGAAGTTAACGCGCCTCGAGTGTTTATCCAATGGGCGCTAGTAATCAGTGGTTTGCGTGCGTGTATGATGTTTTTACTAACGAGCAGGATTAGACCTGCGGAAGCTACTTAGAATAGATATGTGTGTTACTGCCAAGCTATGTAGCGAAGCAGTCCGGTTTGAGCTAATACTCTTGGAATCAGGCCATACTGAGAGCAATCTCACATAAAAAAAAGATATGGAATATATAATTTTCCAAAATTGGAAACAGACATTTCTGAAATGGAAAATCAGGGGCCCAAGGGAATTAGGTTTAACGAATAGTCTTCAGCCTTGTTTGTATATATTTCTGTATCTCTGAAACCAATGCGACATCGTTGTGCCCAGGAGGAGCCTACAACTGTCCGACGGAGCTAGCGGTCATGTTCCCCACGCCGCCCTCCCTGGAGCAACAGAACTCGGCCTTCTCCCCGCTCAACCAGCCCTGCCAGGAGTACCTGAACCACGGCTCGGTGGCCGGCCTGACCCAGATGGAGCAGAGCAGCCTGGGTGACATCTCGGAGGTGGAGGTGGATGACACTATGGGTAGTCCCAAACCGGACTCAATAGAGGTCAGTAATAGCTAATAATTATTCAAAACCAATCGATCCTCTTTGATAGGCACAGAGTCCCTAAAAAAATTTTAAAAAGGAGGGTTCATCTTGCTTTGCCAAGGACCTAAGAATCTACTCCGATGCCATGGTTAACCAGTTCGCGTCGGAGGACGTGATAACACGCACTGACTGATTTTATACACAGATATGGCTGATGGGTTAAGATATCAAGATTGTCTCGACTCGCCTCCGGGTGAGGTCTAAACACGCTAATCCCTTGTACCTTTTGTACACACACACACAAAGTCTGTGAAGTCTGTGGAGGCGGACCGTGTGTTGATCTTGAATTGGCCGTTGTACACGGCCTATTGTTGTACAATTTACGCTCCAGTGCACACCCAGAGTATTGAAACATGAGTTTTCGGCAAGAAATATCGTACAAATACTGTTAAATTACTCTTGCGAATCAGTATATGTAGCGTTTGGCTGTATATCAGAGAAGTTGGCTGGAAAATTTTGTCTTTTGCGAAAATTGAAATTTTCGGCAAAAGTGATTCTGGCGCAAAGTGGTTAAGTTTACTCTCAACTTCCTGTACATTTTTGCCATGAAGGATCCTGAATCCTCCGTAATCTGTGCAAACAATCTAAGAACCAGCCCTACTAATTTCAATTTTGTGGGTACTTTTGTATGTCACAGGACTGGAGCTACGTATATAAGACGCCGACGATGGAACGTTTTGTCGGGGCCAGCATGTACGCACCCCTCAAGTCCTTACCAAGCAGCAAGCTACCTCCCCTCAGAATACCCGATAACTGTGTCTACAAGCCCTCATGGCAGGTGAGTGCAAAGGTTGAAGGTCGGGGGAACTAGGGAAGGCCACGTCGGTGGGATACTAAGGGCAAGTTCGATTGATGGATTTGGGGATGTTTGTTATGCTTGTGTGAACTAATAGCAATGCGAATCGCAAAAAATGTTGGTCCTGGTGCCCCGCTGCGTATTACACTTCATGATGCAAATATTATTGTACAATGCAACCAACTTTAGCAGGCTGCCGCCGAATACCAGGGATGCCAACCTCCCAATTTTGCCGTAAGCCTCCCAATTTTTGACACCAACTTACGACATTACAGCATTAGTTTGCTGTAATCGCACATTAGTGTACGATGATTTTGTGGACATGTATAGTTTAGGGTCAGTTCATAGCTTTGAGTGACACACTTAAAACTGATTTGTGGGACTTAACACAAATAAAGTGCAATTTTAAACTGTTTTTGGTTGATATTATTGTTCACCTTCTGTCAGATTTGGTTGAAGTATTCAACTACTTATTGCATGCTGTCCTTTTATACCATCAGATTCCACTCTCACCAAAGCCAGAATTTATACCTACAACCAAAGAAAGGTAAGAACCTAGGTCTCAAGTCGCTCCTGAAACAGAAACCAATCTTAAAATCTTGATGAGATGGAACTGAAATTTGTTGTGATGAAACCATCTGTAACCAAGTTTTGAACATAATTAATGTCATCTTGGAAAGTCGACTGAGTTTGTTAAGTTTGACAACCCTTGTCAGTAGATTGTCTTGGTATTCTTGTCCAACACTGTTCAGGACACCAATGTGGAATTGTTTGCAATCTGGAAAGACATTCTGCACTCTTGTGATAACTATTGTCAGTGTCACTGGTAAACCATAACCCTCCAAAATCCTTTGAAATCAACCATGAGGTTTTGAAAGATTTTGATTGGATTTAGGAAGGTTAGAGCCTAGCTACATATATTTTGCTTGAGGCTCGATAATCCTTGAAAGTTACACCTGCTTAAGACAGATGTTCTAGGGTTGGGCTGAATCAAAGTATTCTGAAGATTTAAATCAAGTACATGAAAAGTTGAATGTTTTGAAACAGTTAGGAGCGACTACCTTTGAAAGATAGATTGTAGTAGCTGATAGTTCCAGAGTCTATTCAATGGAAAATTGATACATAAAGTTCACCTGACAGAAACTCAAATCTATGTAGGTGGACCCAAGTCGCTCATAATACTATATGGTTTGGCACGTCTCTGGAACTTCAGTCTGAAACAGTGCCAGAGCCCAGCCTTTTTGCTCTGCGTGGAGTTTAATTACGAAGAAATACCATGAGGTTCTTGCACAGTGGTGAATTTCAGATGTCTTGGATAGGTGCCTTGGCTTAGAGATGAAGTAATGTTAACTGGCTACCCTGATATTTAATTTAGTGCAACGTCCAGCGGTGGTCAACTGATCAACTCCCCAGCCTCTGCAGCCCTCCCCGTAGGCGTCTACCCTCCTGGCAGTCAAGGACCCAGGAGTGTCGCCAACACGGACATCGCGCCATCCCCTGCCTCCGAGGCCTCCTCCTACATCAAGAACCTCAACTCTCTCGAATCGGCCTCCTTGGGTGCCAACATCCCGGAGGCCCACAGCCTGATGGTCAACGTGGTGCTGTCCGACTCCCAGCTGAACCTCTTCAAGGATCGGAACTTTGACAGCTGCGTCATCTGTGCTTGCAACATGACAATCCGTGGCGGCGGCGGTGGCAGCAGCGAGGCTTTGCAAGGAGGCGGCGCCTTCGATTCCTTAGGCCCTTGCAGCTGCGGCTTCAGCGCGGTCATGAACCGGCGCTACGGCACGGGCAGCGGTCTCTTCGCCGAGGACGAATCTGAAATAACGGGCCAGTTCAGCGACGTGGCCCTGTGGGCCTGCCACCGGGACAACCCTATGCTTGCGGCCGAGTTTGCCCGCAAGGGACCCTTGGCCTTGGAGGGAGGCCTGAGTAGACTGTACACTAAGGACGGGGTGCCTGTGGGCACGGAAACCCTGAGAACTTCCAACGCTCTGTTGCGTTTGATTCAGGATCAGTGTAACACACCTTACTCCACGCTGTGTCGGTTAAATTGCATTGCCAAGAGGCGGAACGTAAACAGCTCAGGTCAGCTTGCCAGAAGTCAGTTAGAAATAGAAGGTAAGGTGTAAAACTATCTTCCTGAACGTCCATTTATCCCTTATAGGAGGTAGTGACATATGTGACCTGTTCTGTCAAAAGCAGACGCTTCTGGGCAGAGGTTAAAATTGAGATAGAGCCAAAAAATGCTGTGGGGTGATTTTTTTCAATATTCTAATTTTTGCATATTTGTAATCCTGAACATGTCTAAAATATACTATAAAAGTTGAAACCGTAATTTGAACTCTAAATTTAGTATTTTTGATGATTTGTTAAGGTATATCAGGTAAAGAAATGTCTGTTTCGTGACGTTTGTGGCCATTTTCTCCGTTTTCTACTTTTCGACACAATGAACTTCAAAATAGCATAACTTTGCCCAGGAGTGACCGGTTTCAATAAATAAAACCACCTTTTAAAAGGAAAATGTACATATTTTAACAATATGCACAAATCTCATTTTTGACTTTGTTGCCCAGAAAAGTCTGATTTTGACAGAACAGGTCACATATGCCAAAATAAAGATTGAAAATTAAGAATTGAAAACTTGTGTGTGAAAAATTTATTATTTTTTAATCTCTCCTTGATTCCAGAGCTGAATTCCGTCTGAAGGAGTGTTTCCACTACTTTTCACAAGAAAGATAAATTCACTGATCCTTCTGACGTCTTGCGCTGCGAACAGCAGATGGGGAAATCTTGGAAATGAATGGAAATTGTGACAAACTTTTTCAATTTCTTCCCCTCTTTTTTCCCCCCCAGATGGTTGCGAGGTGTGTTTTGCAGCCTTAGAGCAGGGTCGTCAGGTAGCCGAGAACTCCAGCAATGCTAAGCTGGACGACACGCTGCTCAAGAATTCATGCCTACACAGCTGGCCTTATACCCCAGGTAAAACAAATCCCTCCAAATTTCAGAAATATGGGACTAGGTAATAGATTGTTGTTGGAGCGTCAAAATTGTTAGTTTTTGACGCTATTGATACGATAATACTATTTTTTCTCCATTTCAATCCTGGTTATCCTGCAGCAGGTCTGTTCCGCAGCCAGCTGTCCTCCCAGGACATCGTGCGCACCCTCTCCTCCCTCCAGCCCCTCTTGCAGGACGCTATCCAGAAGAAGAGGACCACGAGGTTATGGGAGCGGCCCTACACGGTCCAGGGGCCGCTCACCTGGCAGGTCTTCTTCAACCTGGCAGACAAAGGTAGGAAGGGATTGCTGAGCTCGAATCCAGCAAGCGATTACTGGTTTAGACCATGGAACCATAACTATGTATATCTGTGCATTACACTCACTTTTCAAATCTAGACCTTTGTACAATCCTTGGTGACGTTCCACCACAACACCAGCTGGGCCCAATTTCATAGAGCTGCTTAAGCAGAAAATTTGCTTAAGCACGAAAAAAACATTGCTTAGTAAAATTAGGTTACCGGCCAAAACTCCATGTGATGTACGTTGCTTGTGACTGGTATTTAGCTGTTGTTTACGTAGCATAACAATCGCATGGAGTTTTGGCCGGTAACCTGATTTTATTAAGCGAGACGTTTTTGTGCTTAAGCAAATTTTGTGCTTAAGCAGCTCTATGAAATTGGCCCCAGTTACTTGGATCAGTTTTGAAACGACAAAGTTATAATTTGGGGCCTCGGAAATTAAATTGTTGTTAAATTTTTTCCAAATGAACTCCTTACTCAAATATACAAAGTAACTTCAGTGAAGTGAAACATTTTCATTATTCCAGCTTCTGACGGCTAAATCTGAATGTCGATAATTTTTGCCTGTACAATGTATTATAGGTTGTATGTCAATATTTGGTCGTGCAACCTCCTAGTGGTTTTTGCGGTGGAGGGTCACATTTTAGCATTTGTAGATTCTAAATTGTTTGCCTGGGTGTCCCTCCTTAGTGGCTATCACAGTTATGGTTTATAATATAAACACCAACATTTCCAGACACAAACACAGTAATTGCACCCACTCTTGTTATTCTATACAATGTCTTGTGATTTCCTTTGTCTCTGTAATATAACACTCTCCCATAAACTAAGCACACAGACCTACTACAGAGGACCGTTTTGAACAAAAGACCCAACGCCCGAGGACTGAAAGGATCTGTTGTTCTCCCTTTGTGTGTCTGTCCTTGGGGGTTATGTAGAACAAGTACATCCTCACGTGTTTCAGCACCGTCACCGAATGTGTCTATGGGCTCCATGTGTGAACAAAAGTGGGTGCTTTTTGACCGCTTCAAGTGCCCCAACGGGACACACCAACTTTTACGCACAACTCATTTTATTCTGAATGTGCAAAAAAGCCAAAGCGTCTTTGCGTGAGCGTCACACATTGTCGGCAACCTGTTCGAATCTGTCTCCCAGTGGTCTCCCCAAACTCGCTTTTCTTACCGTTGAGGTGGTTCTTGCACACGGAGCCCATAAACACCTACTGTTCAGATCGTGATGTGGTTTTTGTCTTTGGACCTTCGGTAGTGAGCTCCAAAGTTTTGAGCCTCCGTGTTGAGGCCCTCATTCCATGAAAGGCCCTGTAGGCTGTACATGTACCTTCCATCGTTTTTCTTCTAATGCATCTCTCCATGTCTTGCTTTGTCCAGGTTCATCAGAGTCCCCCGAGCCTCTGCCTATCCCTCCATTACTGGTGGGCTATGATAGAGACTGGTTGTCGTCATCACCTTACGCCCTCCACAACTGGGTAACTTTCATTCTTTATTCCTTCATTTTACCCTAAAGCAATGGGAAAGTGTTGTAAATGGTGAGGTCCTTGGTCACATGTTTGTGCTGCTCAGGGGCTTCGTTCAGTTCCAAACGTGGATATTGTATTTGGGGAAAAAACTGTAAAGAGGTGCTGGCCAAAAAAATTGTTTCATCGTTGGTTTGCTTCAAACATGCCTATAAAAGAGCTCTCATCTCTCAATATGTAACATAGCTTGCTTCTCATTTGGTTTTTCAGTGATTGTTTTTTTTGTTCTCTCTTAATACAGTTATGTTCTGTTCTAGTTTATAAGTTTTCATGCTTAGACTCTGCTTTGGTCCAGCTGTCCATGTGTACTTGTTTTTGTTTCTGTTTTGTGTTTGTCCGTCCAAGGCATCTCGCCACAAGCCAAGGCGTCCAGAAGATGTTTCCATACCTATATATATTTTCGCCCTTTTCACCTTTTGGACAAACTTTATTTATTGATTTATGTACTTAATCGTGTATTCTGTGCTTGTATTTCTCATTTTGGTATGGAAATAAATATGAGTTTGAATTGAATTGAATTGAATTCATTGTAACCAACCTGGACTTGTTGAGATACCACAAATTGTGGCATCAGAGCTAATGCTCTTACTTGAATGCAAGTTTTTTATTACAACGGACTGTATTCAATCAAATTAAACTTTGTTTTCCACCAACAGGAGAAGCTGTTACTGGAGCCGTACAGCGCTACGCGGGACATCGCCTACGTCGCCCTCGTGCCCGACAACGACTTCATTCTCCAGTGTGCAAAGAGTTTCTTCAGGGAAGTCACAGCTGTCTACGAGGTGAGACATTGAATTCATTCCCCCTTCTACTGTAGATTTGTTAAATGTTTTCAAACCCTTTTAGGTAAAGGACTATGAAATGTGAATTAACTTGTGTAATAATGAGCGTCCCCTAATGAAACACAGCACTACAGAGAGCAGTAATCCTTGTGACAGAGTCTTCCTGCTTGCCCTGAGCTTACTGCACAAAAAGACTTGTGGAATCGTTATCCATCCTGCACAGACGATTACCTCAAAGGGTTTTGTAATGTGGGTCCTTACAGGCTAATGAGGTTTATCAGACTTCAGTTTGTTTATTGTGAGAGAAAGACATCATCAGTGTAGAAAGAAATGCATCTTTCAGACCTTTCATCCAATTTTCCAATTTATTTTTGCAATTGACAATCGCATCCCTGTGCTTAATCCACGGACAATAGTGGCTTTGAAAAAATTGAAAGATATTGGATCGCAGAAGACTAGGATGGTTAATTGTTTCATTTGAGACAAAGCTGATATTTTGGCTCAAAATAGTGCATCCGAGGGAACAAGCCAATACACTGTACATCGGCTCAAAGGTCAAAGAAATTGATTTAATGATGTTCAATAAAGGCAGATAATTCTATAGTCGGAGTTTCACTACTGTGATGGTTTTATGAGATATCAGTTCTCTCTTTTTGTGTGTGTGTGGAAGAATCATTGCTATTAAATTGCGACATGCAAGCCCTAGGCAGTGTCTGAATTACTGGCTTACGGCTTGAAATTACACACACGTCTATGGTAGTGGCTGCAGCCACTTCCCTATACCCGTGTGTACTTCCAAGCCGTAGCCAAGTCATTCGAACACAGCCCTAGATTAATGATCTGTTACTCTCTTCAGAGCTGTCGACTTGGGCGGCACGCCCCCATCGCTAAGACTCAGCGTGATGGCATCTTCAGAATCGGCAGCAAATACGCCTCCAAGGTTGCGGAGGAGCCGGTGGACGACTGGTTCTCAGAAATAGGTGAGCTAAGCTTTGAAGGTTTTTCCCTAACCCTAGCCATCCAAAAATCCTTGAAAATACTTTGGTATGGTTTTCTTGAAGGGTTCCCACAATCGTGGAAAAATCATGTGAAATCCTGGAAAGTCTTGGAAAAGTCATGGATTTTTTTGTTATTTTGGAGTCCTGGAAAGTTGATGTTAAAAAAACCCCATTTTTGAAATTTGTTGGAATCCTGCTCAACCCGTACTTGATAATGTGTAATATTTAGCTGTGGCGGTCTTTCAGTTTGCATTCCTTGAAAGTTGGATTAAATTCACACGTATTTGCTTCAAAGTTGGGCCCAATTTCTGTGACATTTTCACACTGAATTGTAAGCTTGTTTGCTTATTTATAACTGCTACAGCACATCTGCCAGAATCAAGCAAGTTAAAGTTGTACGCTCAAGTCTGCAAAGCCTATGTTGGTAAGTGTAGACAAATAAATTTCAAAGTTTTCTAAAATAAATTTGATCAAAAGTGCACTTGTGTTCCTGATTTGCGGTGATGTTCGTCACACACTTGGAAGATTGGGAGAAATCAATAGGGTTTGAGCTTAACTTGGAAAAAAAAGTGTTTTTTTTTTCTAGAAACCCATGGTGGTTTAGGTTGTCCTCTTGTAAATTGCCTGCGATACTAAAAAGCCATCTGAAGTCAGATTAATCCTTTCCTGAACATCCCTTCAAAGTCAGGACTTTAAGTGACAAAAACAACTGCACTCGATTTCATCAAACTCTTCCTAACTTATGATGCATCGCAGCGATGCGACGCGTCCTGCGATCCATTTCACAAAACACGTCGTAAATGCAACTTACAACTTTACACACATTGCCTCGGTATTATAATCTCGTTTATGTAATGTTTATGGCATAAAAACTGGCTTAGAAAAGTGACTCTTCTTATTTTGCGATGACCTCTAGACACGTCGTAACTTGCGACGTGTTTTAAGCCGTTGTCAAGGAACTTACGACGCATTCAACACATCGCAACTTTTGTGAAAGTGCTGGCCGTGCAGGTTTACTGCGGTTGTGGATGCACTCTTGTGAACCAAGGAGCTTGTTTCTGTTGCTCAGCTGGTATTAAAGCTTGTGTTTTTAAGAGGCCATTAGTTTTTAAGAGGCCATTTTAAGAGGCCATTTTTAAATGACACTGATTTTTGTTGTGACCCCCTTCCAGGCCCCTTCTTGAGTCGAGACCCGCCCGACCACACCCTCTTCACCACCTCCCGTCACGACAGATCAGCCTCCACGTCTTCATCGTCAACACTGACCAACTCCAATCTCCCCGGGGGTAACCCCTCGTCCGGTGGCCCCGCCCACATGGGCGGGGCCAGCCAGGGTAGCATGGGTGGGATGGGCAACCAGGGGAGCCTGGGCGGGGACGGGATGGGAACGCTAGGAGGCGGGGCCGGCTCACAACAGGGTAGCATGGGTAACATGCCGGCACCGAGTACCACGGGGCCATCTGGAACAGGTGAGTAGAAAAGAGTGTCGAAGAGAACGATCAGTGGGGGCGATATCTGTCAAATTCATGGACTGATGAAATGTGTTGACTGTACTCACTATTAAGCGTGGGACGTTGCGTTTAATTTTGTAAATGTTAAGCAAATCTATTAAGTACCGTTTATACGTTTAAATGTTTAGCCACTTCACAAAGGCTGCTGCTGGCTGCCCCAGTAGTTTGATGTTTTCCTATGAATATACATGTAGGTACACAACAAACGAAGGGCAACATCGACCCCAATCTACAAAAAAGGTCATTCATAATTGACTGTCCTTTGCATTGGAATAAAATGGGTTTATAGGTATCCTTTATATTTGTGTGAAATTGATTTTTTCGAGGGCAGACAGAGTAAACCTATGTCACTTTTTATAATGTGGGTTTCGGTTAAACGTTTTTGGAAAATTTGTTAACAGATGAAGAATTGTCATCGTTTAAACGTGTAAACGTCCCATCCTTACTATTTGATCGCTAGAGAGTCTGGAATTCATTATGGTTCTCCCTTCCTGATGAGTATATGTTTGAAATAGTGGTTCTACCCAACATGCAGTTCTATTGTTTCATGTAATGAAGGGTTTCCCTTGTTCCTAAAGAAACCCATAGAAAATGTTGCTATCAGTGCGCAGATATAAGCTCCCTCAGGAATCCACCAAGAGTCGACTGATGCTCACTTCTGCTCAAATTTTCAAATGCTGACCAATCCCCTCTCCCCCTTCCCCTCCCCTCAGGCTCACAGCAGGATTCCTCCTCCTCAGACAAGCCCGAGGCCAAGGAGAACGAGACGGGCATCAACATCGTGGAGGACTCGGACTATGAGAAGCCTCCCTCCCCGGCCGTGGTGGTCTACATCGTGGACCCCTTCAGCCAGGAGGATGACTACGGGGAGCAGTCGGTCTCCAGCCTGGCGCTGCTCAAGAGCTTTGCTGAGATTCAGAGCCACGTTCAGGGAGACCTGAAGAAGAACCTCATCCTTCAGGTACTAATAATAACAAAACTATCAGGGGTGAGATCTCTCAGGATTTTTGCTGATTTCAGGATTTTTTGGTCCGGATCTTTCAGGATGTCCGGTATTTTTGTCAGAAGTTTTCCTGATTTTAGGATTTTACAGAATATGTTTCGAAATCTGGAATGGAAAATCATTACTGGCGGAAATGTTTTACAGGGCATTTCAGACAAGCCATGTCTTCACTCGGAGCACAGTTTGGCTCATTGAATCGACCGGTACTTTTCTGGGTAAAATGACCAATGTTCCTTTTCTGCCATAATGAGCACAAAGTTTTTGCTAACTGTTAAAGGTAGAGTGGACCATTTGCAGCTGTTCAAAAAGTAACCGTCCTGATAATTGTTAAAAAGCTTACTTGGTTTAAAGATGGTAATGACACTAAACACCTTGTGCAATTATTTCTTCTGGCATGCTGTCATTTTGAAGGAAACAATAAAAGAAGGTCATTTCCAAAGACGTGTCAAGTGTCACATTCTTGGAAATTTTCTGTTGGTGGTTGGTTTGTAATCAGGCGAAATCCAAGAATGGGTGTGTGCAAGCGTTGACACGACGCACATCGGTGCTCAGTTGCTATTATTAGCGAGAAGCTAGTTTGTTTCATTGTGTGACATCACATAGCTAAAATCAGCTGAATGAGAATCACGTCCCGAATGCTGATTTGGGGATTGTGTCACAAGAGGGGGCAATTCAAAAAATGACCCTGCAAATTTTGAATTGTGTTTTCTCTAAATACACTGAATTCACAGAGCTAAAACTTCATCAGGTTAGTTGTTGAGCATCCATCTTTAGATTTTGAGCACCTTTGTTGCTTCAAACGAAAATCATACACAAATGATGAATGGTGCATTCTACCTTTAGACAGCAGCATGAAGTTAGCCCCTGATCACATCATGTTTTCCTTTGTTTCTCCTATCCTCCACAGATCATCCCTCTCCATCAGATCCTGCAGGTGGCTAACAGCAACATGTCCTCACGCCTGCTCAGCCAGATCAAGTGCCACGCCTTCTCAGTCTTTTCCCAGTGTCGTCGCCACTTGCTGCCTTCCGTCGCGGGTCAGAGCCTGACCGGCTTCGGGCCCGCTGCTGAGCTGGATCGGCTACTCAGAAGCAACAAGGTCAGTTACAGCTCAAATGTCTTTGTTCAAGGGGCGCTAATCAGAAGCCATAAACCTGGGATCACGCCCAATCACGATGCTAGCGACAACAGCAATGCTGCAAACCCAGGAAATGGCAAAACTTGGATCACTCATAGAGGATATTATACAAATATTGAATGCTTCAAGTGGTGTAGTAAAACTAGCCTCCCGAGGTGATCCATGGACATTCTATTTTCCTGAGGTGAAGCCGAGGGAAAATAGAATGGTCCATGGATCACCGAGGGAGGCTAGTTTTACTTCACCACGAGATAAAGCATTCAATATTTGTTTTATAACACTTCACCCACCGATTCTGCTTGATTTTAATATTTTAAATTATCTAAATCTGAACACAGTTGAAATAAACTTCAATTTCAATACAAAATTGGTGGAAAATGTATTTCTCTCTTCCAAACTACCCCTTCACGAAATGTTTGAACCCAAGTCTACGGCGCGCTCTCTTTGGAACAATACGCGCAATGCGCACACCAGCATCCATTTGCACACAAATACCACGCTGTGGAAATAGTACTTTGGTTGCTAATGGTACAGTACTTTGGTTGCTACGGGTATAGTACTTTTGGCCGTGCACAGAAAGATAGCAAAATTAGAAAGTAACATGTGACTCGTTCTCGGCCAATCAAGACACAGAATCTGTGGGTGAGGTGTTATAATACTTTCTATTACAATTTGTTTTCTCTTTGGTGTTTATTTCTAAATCTTTTGCCTGTTTTTTCCACCTCTAGGGTCCTAAGCCGCAGTATCGCCTGTACTCGCCACCTTACATCTTGACCCCGCTCAAGGACAAGCAGACGGAGCTTGGCGAGTCCTTTGGTGAGCTGCGGCAGGCTTGCGGTGAGCTGTTCTGCGGCTACTGCCTGTCCCACGATCAGAGATTGCTGCTGGTAGCTTGCACGGACTCCAAGGGGGAAATGATGGAGACGCAAGTTATAAATATTGATGTGCCTAACAGGTGAGACACAGTCAGGGACGGGGGGTGTTTGTTGGTCAGTCTGTCTGTTGGTCAGTGAATCCAAGGGTTGTGTTTGTTGGTCAGTCTGTCTGTTGGTCAGTGAATCCAAGGGTTGTGTTTGTTGGTCAGTCTGTCTGTTGGTCAGTGAATCCAAGGGTTGTGTTTGTTGGTCAGTCTGTCTGTTGGTCAGTGAATCCAAGGGTTGTGTTTGTTGGTCAGTCTGTCTGTTGTTCAGTGAATCCAATGGTTGGTTTGTTGGTCAGTGTGTCTGTTACTTTATGAGTCAAAGGGTTGTGTTTGTAGTGAGTTGAAGGGTTTTGTTTGTTGGTCAGTCTGTCTGTTGGTCAGTGAGTCCAATGGTTGGTTTGTTGGTCAGTCTGTCTATTACTCTATGAGTCAAAGGGTTGTGTTTGTTGTGAGTTAAAGGGTTGTGTTTGTTGGTCAGTCTGTCTGTTGGTCAGTGAATCTAATGGTTGGTTTGTTGGTCAGTTTGTCTATTACTCTATGAGTCAAAGGGTTTTGTTTGTAGTGAGTTGAAGGGTTTTATTTGTAGTGAGTTGAAGGGTTTTGTTTGTTGGTCAGTCTGTCTGTTGGTCAGTGAATCCAATGGTTGGTTTGTTGGTCAGTCTGTCTGTTACTCTATGAGTCAAAGGGTTGTGTTTGTAGTGAGTTAAAGGGTTGTGTTTGTTGGTCAGTCTGTCTGTTGGTCAGTGAATCCAATGGTTGGTTTGTTGGTCAGTCTGTCTGTTACTCTATGAGTCAAAGGGTTGTGTTTGTAGTGAGTTGAAGGCTTTTGTTTGTTGGTCAGTCTGTATGTTAGTCAGTGAGTGGAGGTTACATGGTTGTGTGTTGTTGGTCTGTATGTGTCATAAACAGACTCACTGGGGAAGATGATTGAGATATGAAATTTTAATTTTTTCTAACAGGTTGTGAGGAGAGTTGTCTGTCAGTCGTTCTATAATCTTTTGTTATCTAAGTGGTGCTACATATGCATATTTCAGGGATCTCAGCTTCACAGCCATGTGTATTCGTATATTTCTGGCTCCTGACAAACTCTTGTGTTGTCCTGTTTTTTTCTACAATTGCAATCTTCTTAATTTTACTACATGTGTGCATTTACTTTTTTGCCTTTTGTTTATTATTTGCCTGAAAATTATATTGTGTCAATTAGATGTACATTGCACTCACTTCCCAATTTCATGTTCTCCATTCATGCTGATCTGGGTGATTGACAGACTTGAACTAGAGAACGGATTATATGAACAATATTTTAACGTCTCTGAGACCCTTATACCATGTCGTCAGTGAGTCTATTCGTCTCATTCTTTAGCTTGCCTTGGGTGTCTCTCTGTCATTATCCTATGGCTCATTCTCTGTCAACTTGTTTGCCTTCCTCTCACCCGGACAGAAAACGGAGGAAAAAGGTGTGCGTGCGTAACATTGCCCTGATCAAGCTGTGGGACTTCCTAATGGGCGTCATGTCCAAGTCACCCGTACCCTGGAGGCTGGTGGTCGGCCGCTTCGGCCGACTGGGGCAAGGAGAACTCAGGGGTAAGTCCAAGTCACAGCAGGTTGACTGAAGTATTCGGAACACAGCAACCCTTCATCGGTATCAGCCCCGGTATCCGTTAATGGATAAAGATTTTGAGAACAGCCTGCACATCACCCTCATAACCTGCGAACCAGAGGTCAATTTGATTGAAATCTCAAGTTGGATTACGAGTAGCTTATAGGAAAGTGCGATGCGATGGGCATGGATATGCATAGTCAGTGGGAGCCTAAGTAATGAGTTGACTGTTGGCTAATTGGGGAGGACAAAAGGCAACTAACGTGGTTCGCGTGTAGATGTTTACGAAACTTTTGAACCCCAAGGGAAGAATGAAAAATTAAACTGGTGTTTTCTTGAGGCTTACTTTGAGGTGGTGCAAGGTTTTACGGGTTACCTCAACTTACCTACCGCTTGGTTCATTTTGCATTCTTCAACTCCCCAGGCGTTTGAGCCCTGCCCCAAACATGCAAGATTTGTGCAAAACCTCCTGTTGGACTTAAAGGTCGGAAAGTATTTGGGTCGAAAGGACTTGGATCATCCCCAGTTACCGTGATTGAGCTGTGAAATTCTTTTATTTGTGTCAGTCCAACTGATTCAGTCATAAAAATCTTGCTGCAATGTCAACATCAACTTTCTGCCTTACTTTCTGCCTTTGAAAATCTCCCTGATTATGGAAACTTATTCCCTATTGTGTTGAATGTAATTCTAACTATCTCCCTGATTGTTGTACAAAATCTGCCTGATTGCAAGATGCGAATGTTGGCAGCTATCATGTCATTCAAACAGGATCTCATTCATTTAGCTGTAACCCCTCTGGCCACATGACCAACATCATCCAATCAGATCTGTGAACCATGCTGTAACACCTGAATATTTCACAAGTAATGAATATTCATGGTTTTTGTAATTAGATTGGAGCGCATTGCTCAGTCGGCGGTCGCTGACGACGCAGAGCCGTACCTTGAAGGACATGTGCAACATGTGCAACGTGACGGGCAACAACGACTATCCCTGTATCCTGAGTGCATGCTTGGTGTCTATGGAGCCGGAACCGGGGCTACGCATCATGGCAGGTGGGTCTTCTGCTCTGATGTCTTGAAGACGACATTCTTAAATAGAAATGGTCATACAAACGCAACTGGACCCAGCCAAAATGTTTGAATTTCGGATTCAGTGAAACGCTGGTCCCTGTCATGGTGCAGAGAAATGCAAAGTTGGACCGAGGAATTATGTTCACGATAACACGACTTTTGTAAAAAACTGAAATTGTATTATCGAGATTCAACTGAGTTTTTTTATCGATGAAATTGAAAATTGATATTAGGCTTTGTCCTCTGTCAGTGCACCAAGCAGTTGGGTTGCAACCCCCCTTCCCCCCCTCCCCCTCCCCCCCCCCCCCACCCCTTGTTCAGCCGACAACCAGTGTTATGAAACGAGTAAGATGGGGCCAAAAATAATAAATGAAATGCTAAAGATCCTAAAAAAAATTTTCAAATTACCTTAGAATGCAGGAGACATAGAAATCATCTTCAAAAATCAGACTTCAGAATTGTCTGGGGGGAAGCCCCTGGACCCCCTAGCAGGGCATGCCTTTGGCACATCTTAGACTCACCCCCCCCACCTTTAAATCACCCCCCCCCCTTTCCTGAAAGCTAGATCTGCCCCTGACCAAGCAGTACTTTCTATGAAACCGCTGAACAGGAAAAGTGCCTCGCAGCGTTACATGTATATGCTTAATTTCATTTCAGCTAGAAACTAGGTACAGGCAATAAACATGGATGACATTTCTTACTAAGCAAACATCCTGTGCTAAGTCAAATTTTGTGGCGATAAGCAATTTCATAAAATTTAACCCTTGTCTGATCAGATGACTTTTTTCATGTCAGGGTTTGAATGGAACAATTTCCCATTGCCCATTTTTTCCTGTTTCTTGTTTAATGAACCATTTCCCAACCTGTTTTTTTATGGTCTCAGACTCTGTGGCAGCAGATAAATGCAGCAAGAACGCCCAGCGTGACCAACCCTCTTGTCAGCTACACACGCCCGACGATGCCACCTGCACCCACATTCATGTCTTCCCCACCAGCGCTACCAAACAGGTAAGTAGCCTCTCCCCCCAACCCCTCCCTCCCCCCAACCGCCACCCCTCAGTCATCCAGGCCTAGTTTGCCTTGAGCGGACGCTCAGTGAATGTCAATCCAATAACCCACCCCGTCCCCATGTCCGACATAAGTCAGTGATTCGGTTTGAGAAACCTTTGACTCAAGTTTCAACATATCTATGATGTTTGATAACTAAAAGCATTTAGCCTCTGAAGAAGAAACTCGTTAAGTTTGCAACGTCAGGCCGCATTAATTTTTGATAACTGATTAGATATGAACAAGAGAACGTTGCACTACATCTTTGAAGAATATATAAAAGTGAGTTCCTCACTTTCTGACCGAAAAGCCTTCACTAATGTAGCAATCCTGATAAAAAGCCAAGTGTCATCTGAGCGGAGGCAAGAATTCCAAATTTGAAATGACCCCTGATTTCACCGGTTTCACCCCTTGACAGTTTGCCAGCGGGCCCTACCAGGCCGAGCCCATGATGGACCTGTCCTTCACCAACCCGACGGACAACGTGCTCCCGGCCGACGACGACCTCCTGTTCATCACGGAGGGGCTGGGCAACCAGGACCTGGCTCAGATCCTGGGGCTGGGCTCCCCGACCAACATGAACATGGGCTCACCGGTGCCTTCCCATAGTGGTCAATCCCCGGGCGGGCCTAGCTCGCCCGGCGGTCAGCAGATGAACATGGCGGTCAACAGCGAGAACATGAACAAGGTCAGTCGTTTATCTCTGTCATTACTGAAGTCGTTCTGTTGTTACCCTGTTCCTGCGCACAGGCATAGAGCATATTGGTTCGGAGTTCACATTTTTAGTCAGTTTAGGTAATGAAACTGATAAATTGAAACCGTATAATAATAATAATATAAATCAAATTGGGTTTGCCCTTCACCGACGTATAAACACTGTATACTCGGTGTGTTACCTCCCGAGTGAAAGTTGGAAAAAAATCACTCGGGTGGGACTCGAACCCACGACCTCCTGCTTTCTAGTGCAGATGTCTTACCACTCGACCACCGAGCTAACGGGATCGGTTGGCTGGGCAAACCCAATTTGAAGGGCAAACCCAATTTGATTTATATCACCCCGACGCAAAATTCCATCTGAAACCGTATACCTAGTGCACCGGTTGGTTCTCTTTTGGAACCTGGTTCCAACACACAGATCTAAGATGCGTACTGGTTTGGAATATATGCAGTCAGTTTTGAGTGATGATAAAACTGATTTTAAGGAACTGATGCAACAGGGCAATTTATAAACCTCTGTGTTAAACTTTCAAACAATCCAAATGCCACGAATGAAACGTGCATATCATTTTGAAGCGAATTATATAGAAATGTAGTTTATATCTGAAGGCCGGTTCATTCTCGGAGCAAAATCAAACGCAAACGTGAATGTGTTGCAAAAGTTGAACACAATTTCGCAGCGAATGCTTTGTAGCGAATGCTTAGTGACGTCAAATTTACATCGCATTTGCATTCGCATGGAGAATGAACAGGCCTTTTGTGTTCAACTGTTCAGCTGTTACTTTAATAACTGAAAAATTAGTAAGTGCATAAAAATAATCAATTTGTTTGAGTACGTCCAACACCATGATGTTTTCTACTACAGCAGAGGCCAAGTTCGGGCAAGGACCATTAGTCGACTAGTGGTTGATTTGTGACATGCCTTACGCCTGCGCACTGATAGCAACATGCGAACGTCTCTAGTCAAACGCTGGTCAAAATGTCATTGCAAAACTTCTGGATCCAGGCTCTCTGCTAACGTTATGAATGCGCGCGGCTATTGGTTACCAGCGAAGCAACCAACCCCAGTAGGCTGGTTCCAAATAGTCGACTAGCGTAGTCAACCATAGTCGACTAGACAGAGTTCGGGCAAACGTTAGTTAACCATTGGTGAACTATAGTCCTTGCGCGAACTTGGCCATAAATGTTGGACTAATTATTTCACTTTTAAATCATTGTAGTAAGTAACTGATACGTTTTACAGGCATGCAACTTTTCCTCGGATCAGCTGATTTCCTCTTTTTCACTTCCAATGTGTGCCATTGAAAATAGAAAAACACTGTACAAAAGTCTTGGAAAGATTTGAATTTCCTCTTTTTTTTTGTAACTTCCCAGTTGCATGCCTGGTTTTAGGAGAATTAAAATCCACTTTATGGTTATAACTTTTCTTATGCACACTGATAAATTGTCTCCAATGTACATTGTATGTCCGACACCGTAGGCACCAGTAGGGTTCAATCAGCGGCCTGGACTTTATCATTATATAAATCTGGTCATTGTGCATGTTTTGGAATCACTTAACCCTCCGATGCAAACATGCATTCTGTGCCAAGTAGTCCTTTCAGTCAAAATCAAACAAGTGACTGTTTTCCACATTTAAGAATTCCTAGCCTACCGTACATAAAGCAGGATTGACTGGCTGGGACTGTTTTTAAGTAACTTGATACAGCTATGCTTTGACTCCGGGTGAGTGATAAAACAGCTGTGACTACAACTTGCCTGCTTTGTCTGTTGACCCTGTTTGACTAGTCACAGTGCTTGCTTGACATGTGATCTGACTGCTGGTGACTAGCCTTTGTTAAAAGTATAGCAGGGGAAGTGGAAGTGAATTTTGACTGTCTGTGACTGTTTAAATAGCAGGAGGGCTAGCTAGACTGCATATTATTTATCATTGTAGAATGCTCAGATGGTTAAATCTTTAGCTGTTTCACTAAATTTCCCATGTACTACACTTCGACTATTTTGAGCGCACTCTCAGAATTTTCTTTGGGTTCTTTGGGTACCCGGTGCCTTGTACAAAAATTTAACATTAACCATTATTCCCCTCATCTTATCTCATCTCATCTTATCTCTTCTCTTCAGAACACCAACCAGCAACTCCTTCCGACAGAGCCTGAGGAGTCCCTCCTCCAGCAGCCCCTGGCCATGGGCTTCTTCGTCTCCACGGCCAAGACCGGCCCGCTGCCTGACTGGTTCTGGTCCTCCTGCCCAGAGGCTGAAAACAATTGCCCTGTCTTCCTCAAGGTACAAAAAGATCTTCCACAAATTACCTTTCCCTCCGATCTTATCACCACTTACTACCATTTCTGATCAATGTGGGTTCGAGTCTCGGTTCTGGACACTTGTGTCCTTTAGCAAGACACTTAACCATTATTGCGTCATTCTTTGGGCCCTTCGGATGGGACGTAAAGCCGTAGGTCCCGTGTGTTATGTAATGCGCGTTAAAGAACCCAGTAACACTTATCGCTAAGAGAAGGGGTTTGCCTCGGTGTTTCTGGCAGTGGCTGCTTAATGCGTGCGCCGCAGCACCTTGTAAACCCTGATAAGGTGCTACGTAAAATGGGTCTCATATGTCAAATACGTCATTTACCTGTCTTTAAAATAAATTGATGGGCCGTATTCACGAGTTGGCCTTTTTTGGTTGGGTTCCCTGAACGTATTTCATTAAGTGTTAACTGTTCAATGGGATGGCGCCAGACTATTTACTGTCTTTTTTTTTTTAATCTGGGTTTAAACATTAGGGAATTCTTAATTACAAATTTAAAATTATTCATTGAAGCAGACTGAAATTTATTAGGAATTAACTTGCTTTCATTTCTCTTCGCAAGTTCCAAAAATTAAGATTTTACCTCACTTTCAATTCAATATGGCCGACTTGTGAATAAGGCCCTTTAGGGCCTTGAGAACCTAATTGTTGGTAGATACGTGCGCTACATAAGACTCCGATATTATTAGTATTATAATTTTTCTGCATCCTTTCCAATTCACTTCAAGCACTGAGCTAGTTCCGTGTGATAATTGTTTGGTGTTGTTTTCATTCTAGGCTGCGTTACACTTGCACAACGCCTCTGTGCAGCAGATGACAGACGACCTGCTGCAGACTAAACACAACCACCCACTCGACTCAAACCTCACTACAGATGTACTCAGGTCAGTCAACTAGGCTTTTTTTGTGTGTGTTTGTTTTGTGTGTCTTGCCATGGTTAGACTAGAGACCAGCAACAAATTTCACACAACAGTGCGTAACTGTAAGATGCATATGCAGTGTGTAAGATTTATGCAACAAGTCTGTTGCGCAACTGCTCATTGAATTTATGATCGGTTTCACAAACCTTGAAGTAGCTGTGCAACGTTTCAAATACTTTACAAAATATTTTTGGAGAGGATAATCGCAGCTTTTATAATGGCTCTTTCTGTACATTTTCATTATTCGTCGCAAAACAGTTGTCGAATCACCTCCACTTGCCATTTTGAAAACACGTTCGTCCAACTTTGTTTGGAATCTCAGAAATTGCGTTGGGGTAAAATAGGGTGTCATTTACGTCAAAAACATAGCCGTGAAACTCATGTATCAACATTAATAACTTAGACAATAGATGGACTTGTGACAATTATAATTAGTAGAACAATAGTTTGTTCTGCGTCAGTACACCTCCTAAAATGCTTGCGTAACTTGTGACATGATTGTGTTGTGTATGTCGCGGACTTGTGCACTATGAAATTTTCTTGAAGGTTATCATAACTGAAATGTTGCACAATTGAAATATCGTGCAACTTATGCAATAAAATGGGTCGCAAGTGGAGTTACACAGTCAAGTGAAATGTTGTGAAATTGGCTTCAGAGCTGAGCTGAACCAAATGATTGCCAAGATTTGAGTAAAGCAAGTGAAAAGTTTGACGGTCAAAAAACACTTGGAGCGACTACATTGAAAGATTGTTGGAGTTATCAAGAACAACTCAATAGTCTAGTCAATGAAATTTGGAGGCATCAGTATCGCCTCTATAAAACCGAATTTGATTTTGGGGTCAACTAGATTTGCCCATAATACCGTTGGTTTGTCACAAAGCATTGGGTCATTCTGTGCCAATTCAACGGGCTTGTTCAAACTTGGTGGAAAGGTTCTTTAAGTTGTTCTATAGATGAGGTCGAAAGCAAAAATTCAAATTGCTTTTCGTTGTGGTGGCACAAAAGTTCAATGAACTTTGCCAAAAAAAGGGAATTGACTGGCCCATAGAATAAATCGCTGACTTTAAGGACCCATATCTTGAGGGGACTTAACCAAATGCATCTTTGAGACTTTTCATCCCGTTGTCAGACCTTTTTTAAAAATTGACGATCTCGTCCCTCATTTAGGTATGTACTGGAGTCGATATATTTGATTTCCGAACCCGACCCCCCACCCCCCCCAACCCAATCTATCAAGTTTGTAAGTCTAATAAAATATACCTCTCTGCTTTGCCCCCTGATCCAGGTATGTACTGGAGAGCTACAACAGCCTATCCTGGTTGACGGTGGATCCGGCCAGTGGGGACCGACGTTCCTGCCTTCCCATCCACCTTGTAGTCCTCATGCAGCTGTACAACACCATCGCTGCGCTGTTCTGACGTCGCTGTCGCATTGCTAAACCCTTCTTCGTCAATCAGTGATCAAACTGTTTTTATGTGAAACCGGCCAAAAGTTACAGAGATAACTGTGAGAGCACTGGAACTAAAAAGATCGAAAAATCCTTGACTTGAACCAAACTTGGTCGTTATATTCCTTGCATCAGACTTATGATGTACTGCAAGCTAACAGAGGACCGTGAAATCTTAGCCAGTGCCGGAATTTGGAAGTTTTTTTTTTTTTTTCTGTCCCACATATCTTCAAGCTGCATCAGTAAATGTTAACCCAAAAAAACTACGCTTGGTGGATTTTAGTTTGTTCGTTGCTGCAAGCCGTACATTTTGAGGCCAGTTTTGTGTAAGCTTTGATGTCAGTTGTCCTTTACACATGTTTACACAGAGAGATCCCCCTATCCCCCGAGTCGACACCCAACAATTGGACAGGCATTTGAGTGACAGCACGCCACCTTGAACTGCTAAGAGAAATGGCACAATTACTATCATGTGAGCTAGGACATCCTGATAACGATGATAAAAATGGAGCGATACTTCAGATGTTCATTATTCAGCTATAAGCAACCTCCAAAAGGCTTGTGACTTCGCAGTTTGGGTAGTATAAGCACTGAGAATCGCGTGAGAATGGTCCTCAAGACAATAATTGCTCTCACCAGAATTTTTTTTCTCAATTCGGAGCGATTCTTCAGATGTTTATTCAGCGCTATCACCTGAGCTCGTGATTTTTCTCCCCATTGGTTCAACTGTTTAACCTTTGTTGAGAGAAAAAGTACAAGCGCTATCACCTGAGTGGAGTCATCACGATAACGATCGATTTCACAAGATTGTCTTAATGAAGATGGAGCGATACTTCAGATGTTCGTTGTTCAGCTATCAGCCACCACCAAAAGGCTCGCGACTTTGCGGTTTGGTTGTTCATCTGTCGATAACATTTGTTGGGAGATATAGTATAAGCACTATCGCGTGAGAATGTTCAAGAAGACAGTTGCTCTCACCCGATATTTTTTTCTCAAGTCGGAGCGATACTTCAGATGTTCTTTAAGCGCTATCTTCACATCGGCTGAACTATTTAACCTTTGTTGGGAGAAAAAGTACAAGCGCTATCACGTGAGCGGAGTCATCACGATAACGATCGATTTCACCGGATTGGTTTAATCAAGATGGAGCGATACTTCAGATGTTCGTTAAGCGCTATCATCACATCGGCTGAACTATTTAACCTTTGTTCAGATTAAAAGTACAAGCGCTATCACGTGAGCGGAGTCATCACGATAACGATCGATTTCACCAGATTGGTTTAATCAAGATGGAGCGATACTTCAGATGTTCGTTAATCAGCCATCAGCCACCAGCCAAAGGCTCATGATTTCGCAGTGTGGGTTATCCTGCCCTCTAGTGTCGGGACATGGCCCTACCAACAGGATGAACCACTCAAGGGGAGGGGTCCAACATATTGACGTACATATCTGCAGAAGTGCCAATGGGAGAGTCAAGTGTGACCACTAAAGTCTCGGACAAGCCCCACGTCGCTACTCCAAACCAGCAAAAAGAAACAAACCAAATCTAATTTGAAGCCAAACTGATATTTCATGTTGATTTTCGACAATCCAAAAAACTAAAGGAAAAAAAAAAACATGATAGGAATGTCTGCTGCCCCCTACTGATCATATCAGGGAAGCCCCCAGTGGAGAAAGAACAGTGTCCAAGGAGTAATGAATGGGGGAAAACCCCAAACGCCCACTCACGATGCACAATGCCAATACAATGTACTTGTAATCTCACTGGACATCAGTGTCTGCTGCCCTCTGTGGACTGCCATTTACAGTCCCTGCACGGCAGTTCTCAGCCAAGAACCTGAGGGGACATGGACAGCTAAGCAACCTGACTGTGGTGTGCAACTTCCAAGCAAACTATGGATTCAGTTTCTGATTTCTTTTAGGACACATGTGTTACCTGTATTGTAATATGTGACCTGTTCTGTCAAAATCAGACTTTTCTGGGCATAAGGTCGAAAATGAGATTTTTGCATATTGTTAAAAAAAAAGTTCTTTTGCCTTTTAAAAGGTGGTTTCAGTTTTGAAACCGGTCATTCCTGGGCAGAGTTACGCCATTTTTTGAACTTCATTGTGTCGAAAAGTAGAAAACGGAGAAAATGGCCACCAACGTCACAAAACGGTACTTTCTGTAACTGATATACCTTAGCAATCATCAAAAAACCATATTTAGAGTTCAAATTAGGGTTTCAAACTTTTATTGTATATTTTAAACATGTTTAGGATTACAAATATGCAAGAATTAGAAAATCAAAAAAAAAAAAACCACCCCCACAGCGTTTTTTGGCCTATCGTGATTTCAACCTCTGCCCAGAAGCGTCTGCTTTTGACAAAACAGGTCACATATCTTCTTGCCTGAATGAACCACTGCGAGTTCTTCGTGCACAACATGTACACTTGAGCAAAAAAAAACTGGGTATTTCTGTTTCAAGTGACACAATCGCTTGAGGCATTGGACTCCTTGTGCTTGCAGGGCACTGTAGGAAGATTAAAGGTAGAGAAGATCATTTGCAGCTATCCAAAAGTAACTGACCAAGTTATTGTTGAAAAGCATACTTGGTTTAAAGATGGCAATTGCCCTAAAATCCATGTGAAAGTATTCCTTCTGGCATGCTGTCATTTTGAAGAAAACAGTCAAAGGTCACTTCCAAAGATGAATACAATTTTTTTTTGAAAATTTCAGTTTGTAGTTGGCGCACGCACGCGCAGTTGCTATAATTCGTCTGTTCAGTGCGAGACATCGCATAGCTGCAATCGGCTGAATGAGAACGTGTTCTGGATGCGGATTTCGGGCGCAATTCAAAACACGACTCGGCAACTTTTGAATTGAAATTGAGATTCTAAAATATTGTTTTCTCGGGATGCACAGCATTCACAGAGCTAAAACATCATCCAGTTAGTTGTTAAGCACCCGTCTTTAGATTTTGAGCACTTTTGTTGCTTCAAACGAAAAGAATTCACAAATGATCTACCCTACCTTTAATACAAGTCTAGAACTGGGCTGGTGTAGTGTGAAATCTGGACTTCACATCAAAGGACTTGTTGACTGTACGTGTTGCTCATGCATGTCTCAGTGAATTGCAAGGGAGCCATATACAGCTTTCTCTCTCTCTCTCTCTCTCTCTCTGATGCATCTGTCCTGGGCTCAATCTCGCGGCGCTGCTAGGCAAAAAAATTTGCTGAGCACAAAAAAAAAAGTCTGGCTTATAAAAGCAGATTACCAGCCAAAACTCAATATCATTTTCATGCCAAGCGAACAACAGCTGAATACTAATCACGAGCAATGTACATCACGTGGAGTTTTGGCTGGTAGCCTGCTTTTATAAGCCAGACTTTGGTTTTTTTTTGCTACGCAAATTTTTGTGCGTAGCAGCGCTGTGAAATTGGCCCCTGGCCCACATCCGGGTACTGGAAAAGTCAGCGTCACAATCGGCAAAGATCACAGAGTGCCGCATGCAGTAGGTAGCAGGCAAGCCTTCAAAGCTGTGATGGGTGGCAAAAACTGGTCAGAAAAATGCGAAGCCAACACCCAGTGCTGGGTGGGCACGATTTATGACAACCGTACACGGCACAGTTGCTTACCAGTGTGCCATTTGATAAAGAATTTGCGGTTATTTTACGCGCAAATAAAGCTGTCTAGTTGCAACAGGCGACGTGGTTACTAACTAAATGCTTGCCTACTGCCGTGGTGGTCAATCACGAAACCGGATGGTCATGTGGTACGCTGACATCATCCAACCAGACTAAATCAGGGTCAATAAAGAAGGCAAGAATGTCATTGGAGTCCAAATTTCATACCCCACCACACACAGAATCTGACAGCCCATTCGGTTGGGGCCATACGTTTCCCAGGCTGAGTTTGTTGTTTTTATTGAGGTATAAAGTGTTCACTGTTAACACAATCATGTGAGAAAGAAACTTTGCAATGCCTTTCCATTCAAGTATAATTCCCTTGGCGCCTGACTTAAAATAAAATCGAGGAGAAAAAGCTGGCCAGGCATTTATTGAGGCAGAAGTCATGTTTGCCCGGTCAACAAACCAGACTGGCACATCCCTGGAGACTTCTTGAAGTGATTTGACACTAGTCCTCATTAATTTGCTTCTAAAATTATTATAGCTATAAAAAAAAAACACCTTAGGATTGCCATTGGGGTAACGGGAAGACTCAAAAGTTATATGCCAGTTTTCGCCCACTGTTAGGATTAAAGTTGTCTCTTGGCTATTAACCTTCTGGCTCCGCTGAAAATTTGGAGAAAACACGTGAGGATGGAGTCAATGAATAAGCCATTTGCGAGTGACCTATATCCTTTGGGATTGAAATTTGAAAAACATCTGGTACACTGACTCGCTCAGAATGCTTAGCACATTTGAAGTGTGAATTCTCCAGACCACAGACACTGTTGCTAATCACATGATTCGGGGCAAGCTCTTGCATAGTTACGTAAGAGACGCTCAGCACCAATACATTGTTCACAATGGGTGAGAACGGCACAAAGACACCAGACCATGCCGGAGCTGGGGTTGCTAGCATAAGGCTTGCCCCGAATCGCGTGATATAGTGACAGTCTCTTTGCTCGGGAGAATGCAAAGTGAAAACGTGCAAAGCTGGGATTAAGTCAGCGTTCCAGATTGTATTCAAGTTTAATTCGCAAATGGCTCATTGAGCAGTTGGCAGTTTCATTTCCATCTGGCAATTTCTAGAGTTGTACACGGGGTGTTTTGCACTGTGAAGTACTCCCACCTCCAAACCCCCCCCCCCCCCCTTGTTGAAAGGTTTTTGGTATTCTGCCAAACAAACAGACAAAACAAGTAACCCATACAAACCGGGCCTCCGTTTTTACATACTTACACGTAGTAATTATCCCCGACTTAAACAAAACAAGCTAGGATTTGCAATCTAATGTTGATTTACAGTTGCAAGTGATAAACGTTCCGTTGGTTGTTTGTATGAGACATTTAAAAAGAACATGTTTCATGTTGTGGATTACTGTTCTGCCAAAAAAAAACAACAGGTGCATTCAGCCAAGTTTTATGCTTGCATGCTTGCTTTGACACTGTACCTGTTGTTCGACAACTCCCACCCCCCCTTCCATTCAGTCCAGTATTCCGCAGTACACATTACTGCGAAAAGGCACTGAACAAAAGCCTATAGCCTGACTGTTAACTATCATCCCTAAGGGTGTAAACCACAATGTGTAGATTTAAACCCAAAAAAAACGAGGGAAGGAAATACGTATCTGTCTGTGCCAAATTCAAGGGAATCGAAAAGGGGGCGGAGTAAAAGAGAGTGGTGTCAATCAAAACTGGCTTATAAAATTTCTGGTTGTGTAAAAATTTCTGGTTGTGTAAAAATTTCTGGTTGTGTAACGTGTTGTTTTGACCTGTTGACCTCTGAACTTGTGACACTCAAGCACACCCTTCCAACAGGCTACCCCTCTTGCCTAACAAATCCTGTATTCTGCCAGTTACTAGCCATGTAAATCCCATCCAAGTCCCACGGGGCACCAGGGGAACATGCCTACCAGTGAGATGTGGTATGTATACATAATGGTTGGCTGGGTTTAATAACAGTTGTCCCACATGCAGTGAGCGGCAAGCTTGGGGCTTGGGTGTTTTTACTCCCCTTATTTGGGTTAGTTGGAAGCGCTTTGGTTTCGGAACAGGGCTGTGTTCTGGCAAAGCAAATAACGGGTAAGTTGTGATTTTTATTTTTTTTGGCGAGCATATCAGCTGTATTTCAAAGTTCCCTGCTTTTGGATCAAACTGGATTTCTCAGTCTGTGGGCAATGAGAACATTTATTTTCTCTGTGAGGGCATTTTCTCTGTAATAATGCAGATTATTGGCAATGGCTGACAGACACTTGACTCTACAGGTGTCTGATTCTCTTGTACATGGGCTAAAGGCAGAAGTCCGATTAGTGGATCCGTCCTAGAATAGTGACGATGGAAGTCGTGTGAGGGGAGGCCTGGGGGGGGGGGTCCCTCACAGTCACATTGACATTGACCCTGGGGCATTGGAAACAACATTCACCCATCAATGATCACTGAGAGTTTCTGAAGGCACAAAACCCTTCAACTCGCGGGACACCCACAAGCAATTCAGAGGCAACTTTCATTCAAATTTTTAAGTGTTTTGAATTTTTTTTTTTTTCAAATTAGAGGTAACCGTACCCAAATGAAAGGGGAATTCCAAACTGACCCCAAGAAATGTGTCTGATGCCTGACTAACGTGCCGATCTAGTATAACATAGAAGGCTTCCTGCGAAGATTATAGTTCATTCCCTTTCAAACGTGAAGGTTTATCCAGATTGAGATCTTATTTTTTTGGGGGGGGGATATAGGAACGACAAGTTACATTATACCAATGGTTCCGTTGTGCAGGCTTGACATCAGATTAACTGATCACAGATTTCGTTCAAGAGTTATGTATCTTTTGTGTGCTGGTTTGAAGCATTTTGTCTCTGTACATAGTGTACAGACACTGTGTTATATCATGCTGAACAAAAACGAAACAAAAAATGTGTACTTTGTGTTATACAAGAAGAGCGTGAGTATTCAATATACAAAAAAAAATATCAGTAATATCTAAATAATATATTTTGCCTTTTTTTTGTTTTTAATGAGGTATTATTATTGTAATATGTTTAAAAAAAGTAATAATTTCTCAACCGTGAACTTTTTGTCCGTTGATGGCGACAACTTTCAGTGTGTCAAGTA